GGGCTCTGAGAAGATCATCAACGGTGCTTCCCTGGTCATAGATATGAGCTGTATGATCCCGAAGTTCTGGCCTTGACCCTGACCATAACTGTGTGCGAAGCATCTCATTCCTGGTTGCCTGGGGAACTGGTCCTTGTGCTTCTGCTTGGAGGAGTGAATGCTCCAACCTGCATGCCCATAAAGCAACTTCTTCTGTGGCCTCTTGACGTGAGCTATAAAAGTTAGCTAGTAGTGATTGACCCCTATCTACACTTCCAAACGTAGCCTCTAGCTTTGAAATGAGCTGCTTGATATCAGCCTCAGGCCCAAGGCACATGGCAACCGTTGCTGCCTTACCACGTAGGGATTGTTGGACTATGTTAACAACAGCCTGTGGTGAAAGAGACTTGTTTTGAAACAAACACTCAACATGATATTTCCAAACATCAAAAGATGTTTCGCCCTTCTTGTCACCAGAAAATGATGGAACCTTTGGTGCCTGTGATAATGTAACAGGTGCTAGAGTACCTTGGATAGAAGGCGGGATGGACGAACCACCCTCAGCCTTGACCTTGGTCTGAGTGTATGCTCGCATCCACTGTACCAGGTCTTCTGGATTATCAACAGTAGGCCAGGTACCAAGAGCCTGAAAAGAAGAAATAAGTTTCTCGAACTCTTCAGGTAGTGGTTTACTCATGATGCAATAACATGAGCAAGTGGTAAGGAAATTATAGGGGATAACATAAATGTTGTGTCAACAACCATACGCAGGATACCCTTGTGTAAGCAAGTGATACTACAAATATATGATTGTATGTTCAGGATAACCTGAACAACAAAAACATTATGCAAATGTGTGTGTGCTCATGGCATAATGACCAACAAGCTGAGATGTATGAGAAATACCTGAAAGAAAATGGCCAAAAAAAGCTAAAACGTGAAGATAAAGAACATCATATTACTTCACATGTGTAGAAGATACCGAGGGAAAAAAAAGTTGAAAGTTGTGCAAACAGCTGTGTTCATGTGCACATACAGTGTATATCTACGCGCGCGGGGACAATATAATGGGACTGGGGGGAATGCTTATATACCAAAGTTAACTATAAACCCAGCAAAACGCAAAAAAAACAACAACCCGAATACAATCCATATTGACACACATGAAGACATAACTGCAGCTGAATAAACAAGAAGGTATTGATCTACCACAAGACAAGTAACAACAGTAATACAAATACCACTGAACTTGGAACACAACACCAGCCCTACATGATGAAATTTGAAAGGTGTATTAAGGCCTAGTTATTCATTTGCTAAAGTTTAAATGTAAGATTAGCTATCTCACTTTATTCACACACACATCATACCAACATGGTACTCTCAGCCATTGTACTTGCAATCACAGGGTAACACAAAAAACATATGATCTAAACTAACTAAATATCAAATGTGTGAGCGCTCACTAAAAGAAACAACACATTTAAATAATATGTGCACGCAGGCACAGGAATATCCCAAGCATATGTACAATAAAGCTCTATAAAGCCAGAAAATAAACTTGTAACTATAATGTTAGTGATATCACTTGACAAAGATTACAACATGGTAAATGGTCTATGTGCATACGTGCACAACACAACCCGGGTACGTGTAACACAAGGTTACATTGCTAGATCCAGTATGCATAATGAATAGATCGGAAACGTCTCTGTAATGTCATATTACTGAACGCTGAAATATCGTCCGATCGCATAACCACTGACAGAGTTCAGATGAAATAGAGGATTGAGGCACATTATAAGCTGTTGATATTGAGTCTATATAATTCAAAATCACAAAAAATGTCTCACACGCGTGTAACGGCATGTTACGATGTTTCCCAGAATGACGTCATAGCACATGTAGTGGACAAGGGACGATGAAGTCAATAGGTAGCTGTCTGTGTCTTTTCTAGGCTAAGGTCCTCACTGGGGGCTCCATTGAAACCGGGACTGCTTCTTGACATGAAGGACAGACGCAGGTGTTGTTCGAATTATAGCCAAGTTTATTACTGATAAATGTTTTGAACCCTGAAACAATTGTAAAACATTCATTACACAAAATATAAACATATGCTGACATCAAATATTTCATTACATTTGATGATATATACAAAATGCTATAACTACTAATTGATAAACTTACATCTCATCAAAAACTTAATTAATCTTATATTATAAACCTACTTAACCCGCATATATACTTATATATGTGTATCATATAAATAGAGTAAGATAGACGTGACATGATACATTTACTATGTGTACATACAATATGCAATACATGAGAATATATATAAAACCTAGTAAACCCACCAAGTGTGTGGACCTGGGTTCATCAGTCCAGACACAGACCTCTGCACAAGTATTACAGCTACATCTGCACGACAAATAAATGAATATATATACACACTGTGCAGACCAATCTGATAGCAGCAATATTACTACAAACCGAAACATAGTGTTATTGCAGAGTAACTTAAAACAATTCTAAAATATAATAGTAAAACCCTGATTCATTCATACATTATACATTCATACATTACACATTCATTTATACCAATATGTTACCTAGCAACATATATGTTTCACATTCTTACTTTCATACTTCATACTTTCATACATCAGCTTCACAGTGATTGAAGATTTAGTTAAATAGTATTTTAAGCCTAAACTTAGCACTTACTGAATTATTTACCTTACGTAAATAATAACACTTGTAATGCATACAGAAATACAACTAATTACTATGATCTGGCGAATATTTACAACATGACCAAAACAGCCAAATTATCAAGAGCATAAACACAATATACCTACAAATCCTAGGAATACGCACAAACAATAAAATATCATCAAAAGACCAACCTTTAGAAGTGAATTCCAAAATGTCCAATAGATCAAACACCACAATTAGTCCAAATTGTCCAAATTGTGAATTCCAATGATATACGTGTGTTTGACAGTAACATCAAATGTGCTCTAAACTGTAGTAAAACTAAACCCTTTAAAACTGGAGACAGTAAGCTAGAACCTGAAACACAAAGGGGCTTTGAGGGGCGCGCTTGGGCAGGCTATTGTGTGATAGTGCACTAGGTGATTGAGGCTGTGGCAAAGTACTCATGCAGTAAGCTGAAACAGAGAATTAGGAGAGCTGAAGTGTGAAGTATATCATGTTTAAAACATATTTGACTGAATATTTAATTCAGTAAAAATCTAAACTAATAAAACTCTGAAAATATATACAATTATCGGATCCTGTCACATGATGTGAGGTGCAAACGGTAACAGCAAATGTCGAGACATTGAAGGGAATTCATTTGCTGTAAAAATCGAATACTCCGGTTTACCCTAGAAAGCAATAATGAATAGTGTCATGTCATTAATCAAATGATTGTGAAGGATGAGACAATAACGTGGTGATAGTTGACATACTCCTGAATGAATCCCGTTGATTGTTTTTTTTTATGATTTCACCATACTCATATGCTAGCTGGATTTATGCTAATATAACAGTTACTGGTTAATGATAGCTTTGACATGTTTATTTGTTTGTAATTAACTTCTTTATATTTCTAGAGAATATTTTTATAATTTTCAGAGAATTCTTTTATCGACTTGTCACACCGACCTCTTAATAATCTTATGAGCAACACATGTGTCCATGGGAGCTTAGTCTAGTTCAGCGTCATGACCTGCACGTGCACTACATGCGCACACCCTCTCTACCTGTAACAAACTAAATATGTTTGCCCAAACTCTGTACACCGCCTACTTGTCTCAAACGCGTTTTGTGAGTTGGTTCAACTTATCCTGGATTACAGTAGTTTAGTGTAAAGGTAACTTGCTGCCCAGAATATGTGTTTAGTTTTCATAAATGACCATGCCCACCAAAGCAAATCTGTAGGGAACTTGAAGCCGCAGTTATAGGCAACCGACCCAGTACGACAGTATCAGAAACGATAGCGTAAATCAGCACGTGTTGCTCTTTGGTTATCTTCGGAACAATTTAGGGAATAACTTAGTGATTAGTAATGTCAGTTATGTTCTATTTTTTTAATATTATAATTTCTGTACTGCACTTATCCAGGCACTAGTATTTGCCCAAATGCCGTTTTATATGTCCCTCGGCCAATGGATCCGTTTTCATTCAAGTTGTCATTCTCAACTCCCTGGGGAGTATACAACCTAATATAAGCTGCCTACTGGCGCTAGAGGGTTTTTACATCCAGTGTGACACCTCACGTTTTGACACTTGTGTGTCGGGTATATGAACGTATTCGTGTTTCCACCATCTGGTCATCTACCGGCAAGTGGGTTCTTTTGAGTACACAGGGTGAATGTACTGTACACCAGGGGCCAATAATCCTACTGTGTAGCCTCATCCCAAATTCTTCGGCCATTCTAAACTGGCAAACGTTCATTCAGTGAAATAAAAATCAGAATCATATGCTGCTCAATAAGATAATATTATTGGTTTTCTTCTAAAGGGTAACACCCATCTCACTCAATGACTCTAAAATACTTCAACATTTTATTGTGAAAATTATTCAGTTTGTATTACTTTGTTTGGTTGCATATCTGGCGTCAACAAAACAGTGTTCGTGTGATCGAAATATGAACAAATGAATGTCCATGTAGCGAAAGCAGTTCCGAAAAGCCCAGGGTTCACGATCAGCCAGTCAAAAGCGGATAATGACTGAAATGTGATATGTGAACATATTGTAATACTATGTGATATAGGCCGCTGGCTTACACACGTTTGTAAATAAAGCCGATTGATAGTGCACACTGGGCAAATATCAGAAATATGTGCAACGACATGACTTACCGCTGGGGTAATAATATGTTATTACCTATCCTGCTTAATGTTGTTAATGAATGATACAGTCAAAGTCGACATAATTCTGCATTCAAAGTTCTAATATTACACAGCTAATACAAAGGATTATTCAGCACCTGTTGGTTTATTTATTTCAGATAAAACCGCGTGTCCCGCCTCGGCAGTGTGTTCGGATGGGACTCCGTATCCTTGCTCGTGTACTTCAGGATATTTTGAATACCAATGTAGTAACAGTAAGTGTATTCACATTGTCACTGAATATATCTTTTCGTGATCAAATATTTACAGGTTTTATCACAACAAATTGTGAATTAACATCACTATCAAGAAGACAAAAACCTTTGAATGCCAGATTAAACTAAAACGTCTTGACAGTCACTTATCAATTATTTTTTGCTGAACACAACACACAATGTGAGACACGCATGCCTTACTACGTCAGGTACTGTGTAATGTGTTCATGGTGAATGGGGTCGTGGTTTTTGCTTCTTAGTGTGATATCATATTTGTTTGTCATTGTCAATTGGATGAAATATATCACCTCTAAATATCACTATCTCATTTTCGTCATGCATACTTTGAATACCAATGAAGTGACAGTACGTGTTTGCACCTTGACGCTGTGTACATTTCCTTTTCAAATATATGGAGATATTCTTACAACATAAGGTGGCACTACTGTAGACGATTCCCTTTGAATTTTAGATCGAATCACGTTTTCATAGATATTTATTGTTAACTTATAATTATTACTCACGAAACTCCACACCAAATATGTGAGCCGCACATATGAAACTACATCATCTGCTGTGTAATGTGTTCAAGATGCCAAAGATCGTTGTTTGTGCTTCTTGGTGTGATGTCATATTGTGTTTGTCATTGTTAATTGAGCGAACTATATCCCTTATGTCCTCTTGATATCACCATTATTTTCCTTTTCGTGATTTTGTATGCTTTCCTTCACTTGTGTAATGCTTTCTTTTGTTCAAGCTTCAGGCGGCTGCGCCGTGGACCCATGCCAGTACTCCATTGGCTGTACTGATCTGAAGACCCTCTACCAATGTGGATGTGTCAATGGAACGGGAGGAGCCCATTGTGAGACCGGTAAGAAGCTGGTGTCTATGATTTGTTTTGTATAACGCCGCACTCAGCAATATTCCAGCTATATGACGGCGGTCTGTCAATAATCGAGTCTGGACCAGACAATCCTGTGATTGACATCATGAGCATCGATCTACGCAATTGGGATACGATGACATGCATCAAGCAAGTCAGCGAGCCTGATTACCCGATGCCGTCAGACGTCTCTTGCGACAAGCATTGAAGACCTATACTCTACCCGGATCTTCACGGGTCCGGTATCTATGATGTAGGTCATTAATTAAGGATGCCCGCTGGTCTCTATTTAACTTTTTCTAAGACGAGTATTTATATTTAATAATTATGTTATCTGACTGTCCAATGACAAATGAGGGGGGATAAATCTACATTCTTTTGCAGTAGGTGCTCTTGCCGACTACCACGCCGTATGCACACTTTATCATACAACCATATATAAAGTTATATATGATTAATGATATGTTACTTTTTAAAATGCTCTAACTGGGGCCGGGGATCGAACCCCTGATCTCCCGCTCTCCGGGCGGACGCGTTGCCACTAGACCACGGAGGCGGTCACATCATGTTGGGAGATGAAAATGCAGTGACGTCAGACATTTCATGTCATAGGATCCTGTGCAGCTGCATTATAGATAAGGTCCCCTTATGATGTGTGTCACCGCCACGCCTGTGTTCCGTGTGTTGGCAAAATGGCAATGATAGCGATGATGGTGTTCACATTACAATAAAAGCAATGGGTTAGAATTCAACCAGCAACCAACCTATTCTTGCAACTAGGATGTGCGTACTCAGCTAAGCAATATGTATTCATATGTGCCGAAATATTCCCTTTTGAAACTATTATTTACTCCACGACATTGTCTGACTATTATTCGTCGATATAGTCAACGTATCAAATCAGTGTCCTACCACATTGAAAGTAAGTGAACAAATTCCTTCACTTACGGTGCCAAGAAACGTGTGATAAAGATCAAATACAATATAGTCTGTTATCATTTCATTAAACAATAAGTTTCCTTATAAGGACACAGATCGAGATGTTGTTGCCGACTCCGGTTGTAGAGGGTGTGTATGTGGCACAAGAAGGTCGTCGTGAGTGAGTGAGTTGGGTTTAACGCTGCGTTTAACAGTATTCCAGTTATATCACGGCGTGTCAGCGTAATAGGAGGGGGGGGGGGGGGTGGGGGGGGGGGTGGGGGTAGGGAGCCCTATGTGAGGTCTAAGACGTTTACCACTTCAGGTGAATCCCAAGAGCACGGGTATGGTGCTGACAAACCTAGAAACATGATCGGGGGGAACCGGGATTCGAACCAACAATCATAGGTTTCTGGCGTGCCCAAGGGACGCAACTCTGCACAGCGAATCGCGGCGCCTTGAACGACCGGGCCACCCGTGAACCCTCAAGAAGGTCTGAAGAGTCGAAACAAATCCAAATATGTATGGATTTACCAATGCCTACCTCGGATGTGTAAACTAAGTCAAATGTTCGGTTTTACCAGGGAGACTATACAAAGGTATAGGCTGCCTTGTAATTCATTCAATATTCAGAACAAAAGAATTCTTCTTAACATAGTTTTAATAATAAAAAATTTCATCACTTAAAGTTGATTGAGTTACTATTGATAAATTGTTCGTAATTCAAGATGGTGTCCATGAATTGCGCTGAATAAGCGGCGTTGTCAGTCCATGAAGTCATACGTAGTCTATGAACCATACTCCCTGAGGTTGCTTCGAGGTTATAAAATAAATATTATATATTATTATATATTAATGCTGTTGCCTAGTTCTTGTGCTGTCCGGAGAAGAAGAAAGGCTTGATGAATGTTATTGGCTATATTCATTGATGGCTGTGCATTCGACAGCCAGTCAAACTGACGAATTGTTATCACAACAAACGTGTTTACAGCGAACGACCACATACTTTGATTGTCCTCTAATAAAACACGTTAAATAGCCTCTGAGGTTGTTTCATACACAGGCCGTAGTTTATCTTAAAACTCTGTTTGGGTGTGTCTTGACGTGGGTGTGTCGTGACATGGATGTGTGGGTGTGTGAGCATGTCGTGTCGTGGGTGTTTGGGTCTGTCGAATCATGTGTGTGTGTGTGGGTGTGTCGTGACGTGGGTGTGTGGATGTGTCGTGACATGGGTGTGAGGGCGTGTCGTGACGTGGATGTGTCGTGACATGGTCGTGTGGGCGTGTCGTGACGTTGGTGTGTGAATGTGTCGTGACGTTGGTGTGTGGATATGTCGTGACATGGGTGTGTGGGCGTGTCGTGACGTGGGTGTCTGGGTCCATCATGACATGGTGATGTGGGCGTGTCGTGACGTGGGTGCTAGGGTCTGTCGTGACGTGGATCTGTGGATGTGTCGTGACATGGGTGTGTGGGCGTGTCGTGATATGGGTGTTTGGGTCCATCATGACATGATGATGTGGGCGTGTCGTGACGTGGGTTTTAGGGTCTCTCGTGACGTGGGTGTGTGAATGTGTCGTGACGTGGATCTGTGGATGTGTCGTGACATGGGTGTGTGGGCGTGTCGTGACGTGGGTGTTTGGGTCCATCATGACATGATGATGTGGGCGTGTCGTGACGTGGGTGTTAGGGTCTCTCGTGACGTGGGTGTGTGAATCTGTCGTGACGTTGATGTGTGGATGTGTCGTGACATGGGTGTGTTGATGTATCATGACGTGGGAGTGTGTTTGTCTGATGACGTGAGTGTGCGAGTGTGCCGTGACGTGGGTGTGTGGGCGTGTCGTGACGTGGGTGTTAGGGTCTGTCGTGACATGGTGATGTTGGCGTGTCGTGACGTTGATGTGTTGATGTGTGATGAAGTGGGTGTGGATTTGTCGTGACATGAATGCGTGGTTGTTTAAGTTATAAAGGGTCAGATTGACCGGCGTCTTAAATGAATATTTTGACAAAATAGAAAATATAATAAACAAAGGGATGGTACAATACATATGCCTTATCTCAGATGTAGTCAGGTTTACAAGTTACTTTAAAACATCCTTTTCATTTTGCCAGACATGAATAGTTTGCAGTTGTTCCCACTGACAAGACGTAGCATCTGTTTGGTTTCGAATAGTATCTACAGATATCGAGCCTGATACCCTGAAACCCCACCATTCATATACATGTATTATACTGTGCTACGGATTGAGAAATATGGTGAGATTAGTAAAGTGGTTACCCCTTCTCGGCCTTTTCCTGTCATGAACTTCAGCAACAAACGGCCAATTCGGATTATGCATTCATGTCAAATACACGTGAATGTTTCGGTATCAGGCCGCCCATGTCAAATGTGAAGTTATTCGGGCAAGACAATTTTTATTTAGTCTGCAAAGAAAGTGGGTTTGTCAAGTATTGCCGATTGTTTTTACCGACTCTTTGTAATGGCGTAATAACTTTGGGCTTGAGACGAAACGACTGTGTAGATTGCCATTCTCTTTCTGATGATGATTAACAAATTTAAACATATTTAAATCAAAGATATGGAAAGACAGATTTGATCGTAAATATTAATGTCATGATTTAGACGTAAACATTGAAATTACCAACTCCGAAAATATCGCCAGAGCGTTATCACATCATAGGTGGGCCCGATTAGTCCGTACACCATTAGTGCGGACACAATAAGTCCCTACCCCATTAGTTCAAACCCCGATAGTCCGGGCCTGATTAGTGCGGACACAATAAGTCCCTACCCCATTAGTTCAAACCCCGATAGCCCGGGCCCGATTAGTGCGGACACAATAAGTCCCTACCCCATTTGTTCAAACCCCATTAGTTCAAACCCTGATAGCCAGGGCCCGATTAGTGCGGACACAATAAGTCCCTGCCCCATTAGTTCAAACCCCGATAGTCCGGGCCCGATTAGTGCGGACACAATAAGTCCCTACCCCATTAGTTCAAACCCCGATAGTCAGGGCCCGATTAGTGCGGACACACTAAGTCCCTACCCCATTAGTTCAAACCCCGATAGTCCGGGCCCGATTAGTGCGGACACAATAAGTCCCTACCCCATTAGTTCAAACCCCGATAGCCCGGGTCCGATTAGTGCGGAGACAATAAGTCCCTATCCCATTAGTTCAAGCCCCGATAGTCCGGGCCCGATTATTGCGGACACAATAAGTCCCTACCCCATTAGTTCAAACCCTGATAGCCCGGGCCCGATTAGTGCGGACACAATAAGTCCCTACCCCATTGGTTCAAACCCCGATAGCCCGGGTCCGATTAGCGCGGACACAATAAGTCCCTACCCCATTAGTTCAAACCCCGATAGTCCGGGCCCGATTAGTGCGGACACAATAAGTCCCTACCCCATTAGTTCAAACCCCGATAGCCCGGGCCCGATAGTCCGGGCCCGATTAGTCCGTACACCATTAGTTCGGACACCATTTGTTCGTACCCAATTTGTTCCTTCCAAATTACTCCAGAACCCATGATTCTCCGGCGATCAATGTTTGGAGCGTCTTAATCTGTGTAAGGGAAGCATTCTTTGTTGGTCGGGAGATGTATGCATCTGGAATGACGGGTTCCACTGTTACGACCTTTCAGCATCATCTTGCCCCTCAAATGTCGTTACAAACAATAAAGAGGATGTTATCCATAAAACACATCATGCCTTCATGTTCTTCCAACTTTTATATGGTTATCAAAGACTTAAGATGTTTATTTTCGTTTGGATAAATGCCCTAATCAATGGTTTCAATCCAAAATCTTTGAAAATGAAATTAGATTATTCTAAATCTTAACCAACGTGCTCTTGTTATGTGTTTGAACGAATTACTAGGGGTTGTATTGAATAAGGTACTTATTTATCCAAATATCTCATTCAAAATACATTTGACAATCATTGTTCAGTATAACTATGAAAATATGTCATACAAATTATTTAACTGTCACCTTTTAATAATTTCACATAATTTCAATAGTTAAAGATAATCGTTTTCACCACAGATGAGTATCAGGAGCACAAAAGACGTCGAATAAGCTTTAATTATTTGCATTCTATTACCATGTCAAGCAGACAAATATACAGGCGTAATATATATAGTGTATGACCACAAATACAATGTGGAAGAAATGTACAAGTATTGATCACACGAATCACACGAATTAGATTTTGGAACGCGAAAGAATGCCTTTTTTTTAAATAAGAAGGTTTGCTTTCATTTGGTGCCGTTTATAATTATCTCCTTAATTCACCCTAACTGTATGTTTGCCCAGAAATCTATACGTAAAATATTTAGTGTGAAACCAACAAACAACCAAAACATGGTAGCCAATCAACAATTGCATTACAAAATTAACTAGGTTTACCAATCAATACAAACTACTACACAGCAACTACAATGGCAGTACAATAATAGAGTGGTAGTACAATATTCAATGGCAGTATCAAATACAAAATATGGTGCCAGTAGTGATTACCCGTATATGTATTGAAAATATAATATATATCTAAATCCAATCTCAATGTACAAACGTCCTGTATTTCGGTGGTTATTAATGTGACAGAAAAAAGGCTATTGGATTTAATGTTAAGTTCTTAGCCACATCGTCGATTGTGGCAATAATTATAATATTAGCTGAGATATATAAAGATATCATTACGACCGTGAAAGCACATAACACATGACACATTCATAATCAAACAAGCATAATTAGTTCTTGTTAATTCATAATGTAACTGTTTGTAGATATTGACGAGTGTGCAACAAACTCATGTGTGCACGGTACATGTGTCGACCACGTCAATAACTACACCTGTGACTGTGAACCTGGGTATACAGGCAGGAACTGCAGCACAGGTGAGAAGGCCTTCCCTATCTCACACAGGTTTTATTTATTTCAGTATTATAACCTCATTAGCGCGAACCCCATTAGGTCGGACACCATGCTTTCCAGGCGATTACGACTATTTGCGACCGGACATATACAAGGAAATGTATTCATTAACTATTATTCGTTTGTTCAGATAGTTATGTATTTGGGCCGTTTTGGTTAATTCTTCATGTAACTGTTTGTAGATATTGACGACTGTGCAACAAACCCATGTGTGCACGGTACATGTGTCGACCACGTCAATAACTACACCTGTGACTGTGAACCTGGGTATACAGACAGGAACTGCAGTACAGGTGAGAAGGCCTTCCCTGTCTCACACAGGTTTTATTTTCAGTATTATAACCCCATCAGTTCGGACACCATGCTTCCAGGCGATTACGACTATCTGCGACCGAGGACACTAGAGTTCACGAGTAACACAGCACGAGTATTTCATCACCAAATATATGATAATGGATTTTATTCACGAAACAAGATAGGGTGAGGTGATATGGGGTTTCACGTCGTGTTATACTTGGACACACTATACTTACTCTGAGCCGGTCGGACTTTGTTTCATATCCGTAAAACCGCCGTACACAAGTTCCGTGCAAAATTATACTTTATCTTTTGGTATGACGGGGCCTTCACGTGTTATCGTTGTATATCATATGGTTGCTTTTCTGCTTTCGGATGAATGCCAGCTGTGAATGTGTTTTTGTTCATTTCTATAAGCAAACGAATACACCCTTTGGACAACGTTTACATATTTATGAAGTCACTGTGTATAATATTATTCATGATAAATAAATAGGTTGTCGACCGGTTCATCTTGCATTTAGCTAACCCAGCTGTTCCTATCCAAATTCGATAACATCTGGCCCGTCCGCCCGCTAACCATCCAATCACTTAACCAACCCACTCCCAAACCCACCTATGTACCAAATGTTAACTTTCTGTTTTCGTTGCTCCAACCATGACACTTGCAAGAATATTTCCCAATATTTAACCGGTTTTTCTCGTTTGTCTTCAGGTGCTTCAACGATGCCAAAGGGGCAACGATTCGTTGCAGCGTTCTTTGAACAACCTTACCAAGCTTCAAGCTTTCCAAACATGTTCTTTGTGATTCTATCTGAGTTCAATGCCACTGTTCACGTTGAGAGTGGATTCGGTATTTCAGAAGATTTGTACATCCAAGGCATGGTAGACTACAAGTACAAAGTTGATGAAAGTTTTTATTACCAAGCCAACCTACAGGTGACTGACATGTCATTCTACTTTACATCCACTGAGGAAATAACCTTGTTCTGTTACCACGTACTTGTTAATCAAGGAGAAGGATACCTTGCTTTGCCGATTGAGACTTTATCCACGGAATACATTGTAGTGACACACATTGATAATCACACAGCTCCTGTCCCTGAACTTCCCTACACAAAGACCACACAGACTGCTTTCCTCATTATCGCTACGGAGAACAATACCCAGGTGGACATCAGTCTTAAGATGCAAGGACCCCTCATGGCAGGTGGGTGTGGCAATGGGACATTCTTCAATGGGGAGAACAGAACATTTACACTCAACAAGTATCAGACAGTTGGCGCCTACTGTGCAGAGGATATTACTGGAACACTGGTAACCAGTGACAAACCAGTGGCTGTGATTAGTGGGCATAACATGAAGTATAGGCCTCCCCCAGGAATTAGAGATGGCATGCAAGAAATGTTGCTGCCTGTGAAGTCATTTGGGAGAAGCTTTTACTTGCCTGAACCGCCACCAAGTACTGGTGGTGCTATATACAGAGTTGTTGGATCAACAGCGTTGACCTCCGTACGCTCCCCGTCCGTCAGTGGTATATCTTTCTCCGTGGGTGCACGGGAGTCGCATGACATAACTGTTGATTCTACCACAGGTCCAGTGTACATTGAAGCCGATAAACCTGTCCTGGTTGTGCAGATGACTATAGACACACCGTCACTCGCAATAGTTCCCCCAACATGTTTATACTCCAGCTCCTATAACATTGGAAAACCCGTTCTTCATGAGAGATTTGACCTGAAGAAAATGTATATAACAGTCATTGTTCCCACTGACAAGGTTCTAGGAATACGACCACAGATATTTCCCCAATTCAAAGTAATTAAAGGAAGCTGTTTCTCTGAGGCATCAGTGGAGTTGACATCACCAGGATTCTACCGCCTGACCCACGTAGATGATGTTCCATTTGGAGCTATGATGTACGTGTTTCCGTTTGTGGATAGTCAGTGTGTATATACCCATCCGGCCGGAATGAATCTGACAAATGATGTTGGTAAGTACAGTATCAACGTTCACAATAGCTACCTGTCCATTATCAAGTTATCATTTTAACCTGTCAGTTAACGTTGAAAACTAGTAACAGCAAACACTGCTTGAACGTTAGGGATTTTGAGAAATATACGTTTTCACATTAGGATCATAAGTTGTCGTACCCATACATCACAAAGCTTGTTTTGAGTTAGTGTTTGTTTGTTGTTTTGTTTGTTGACGTCGCACTCAGCAATATTCAAACTATATGACTGGGGTCTGTGGTTACATGGGTCTGAACCAGACATTTGAGTGATTGACATCATGAGCATGGGTCATAATGAACATTGAAGCCAGAACTCAATATAGCTTGTGAATGTGGATAAGTCTTAATTAGACCATAGCCTTCGGGTCACATTACAAGTAACGGGGATTCCAATTTAGATACCTCTAGTGTGTGATCAATCGGTTTCTTGGACAGATTGAAATATAGAATAGGTTCACATTGGCATCGTTTTTAAAACGATTATAACATAACATGTAGAACTCGGATGTTCATTTCAAACTAACATTGTAGAGGGACATATACCTTGCTACCGATCTAGCCTCTTTAAATTCTATGTTTTTATTGCATCTTTACACGCTTTAATTTAATATCAGGTCTATGCCCTGAGTGAAAAAATGTTCAATTTGCCCAACGTTTATATTGATATTAAATCCGTTTTATATGAAGCAAGTGTAATATTCTATTTACAACAACATATCTAATTTGAAAAGGGAACAACGAAAACAAGCAGTTTCATTAACGTGTATATCGCATCTAGAAAGGTCAAGGCTATAACGCTTGTGGACCTTACCCTAACGGTTATATCAGTATGTCATATGGCGCTGTAAAACATGGTTTGTAGTCTATGTTTGTTACAGTAAAGGTACACGACAAAACCAGTGCGTACCCGGCAGTGCCCCCCCCCCCCCCCCCTGGATTTTTTTTATAGAAAACGTTTTATTTGAATCATGAAAATACAAGTTGGGGACACAAGTGATACTTCTACAAATATTTGCCTACACCCCCTGTCAAACAAAGTTAAGTACGGCCTTGAAAACTGTACGTGGTTTGCAAATTTTAAAGCCAAACTCGTGTCTTAACAGTGTAGTAACAATTATCATAATCGAGAAAACGCTAAGTTTACAGCAAAAATAATCGTGATCTCTCGTTACTTTCGCCTTAGAGCTTCTAGCCTGTCTAAACACACACGAAACGTTCCATTGAGAGGTCACCGAGTGCATCAACTGACAACACAGTCAAGACTAACGACAAAACCGTGATTCAAGCGCGAAACACTACGACGAAGTGCACTGTTTGAAATGTTTCACGTACAGTTCACTGAATGTTTCAGTAGATGTTTCACTGGATGTTTCACTGGATGTTTCCTATGGCTCGTTCCTTCGTTTTATTTAGTTCGAGTTGAAACCAAGGCGTTCAAAATGTCTAACGCTGCCAACCTTTCCGGTAAGCTGAGGTGGCGTGAGATTTAATGTCGCGTTAGTGCGCCTATATACGTTAAGATTGTGCATGTATGTGCGTATGTGCGTGGCATCTTGCATTAGTCGAGACTAATGTCAGTTTTATAATGCTTACCCACTGAGATACAATGCCACAGTTTAACATGGATACCTAACTCAGACAGTATACTGATTCCGAGCTGACCTATCCTTGTGTTAGCGCGAGGCAGGGATACATATACCATTATTCAACTCATTTTGATATGGCACGGCCGAGTATTTACCACCGACCTCCGCGCAGACTCTCTGTCCACTACACCACGGAGGCCGCCACTGTCTTTCCTTCTGCATGGCTGGCGATGATGCTAGTTGAAAACTAATATGTACCATGGACCGGGCGATGTACTGGTAAGCCAGGATAAGTTGAGTTGTGACCTGGAAATTAACCCCGCATGTGTATGTATGAGGTCCGCCAACCGGCGCTAACTATTGTGAAGAAAGGGGAAGCGGGTGGTCCGCGTCAAGTAGTACGGTGGATATGTGTGTGTACTGTCTCAAATAACATCGAGGTCTAGTGGCAAGTTCAATAGCGCATAATAGTACGTGCTGATGTGAGGTACCCGATGACGATGCAAACGGTGACAGCAAATTTGCGTAGATAACGTTTGTTTGTTTCCTGTTTAACGCCGCACTCAGCAATATTCCAGCTATATAAGGGCAATAATCGAGTCTGGACAAGACAATCCAGTGGTTCACATCATGAGCAGCGATTTATTGGGATACGATGAAATGCATCAACCAAGTCAGCGAACCTGACCACCCGATCCCGTTAGTCGCCTCTTACGACAAACATGGGTTGCTGAAGACCAATTCTAACAGGGAAATGGGGGGCATGGGTGGCCCAGTCGTCTAAGGCGCCGCGATTCGCTGTGCAGAGTTGCGTCCCTTGGGCACGCCAGAAACTTATGATTGTGGGTTCGAATTCCGGTTCGCCCGATTATGTTTCTAGGTTTGTCAGCACCAAACCCGTGTTCGTGGGTTTCACCAAAGTGGTAAACGTCTGAGACCTGCATCACTTCGGGCTTTCCTCCCACATTAAGCTGACACGCCGTGATATAACTGGAATAATGTTAAACTCAACTCACTCACTCACTCTAACCCGGAATCTTCACGGGACAGATAACAATTGAGAAGTATCGTGACAATGAAGGGAATTCCTTTGCTGTAAAAATTGAATACTTCTGTTTACCCCAGAAAGCAATAATGAATAGTGTCATGTCATTCATCAAATGATTGTTAAGGATGAGACATTAACATAGTGATAGTTGACATACTCCTGAATTAATCCTGTGTGATTGTTTTGGGGGTTTCAGCATACTGTAAACGTAATATTGCTAGCTAGATTTCTATTGATATAACTGGTTAATGATAGCTTTGACATGTTTATTTGTTTGTAATTAACTTCTTTATATCAAACAATTTTTAGAGAATTCTTGTATCGACTTGTCACACCGACCTCTTAGTAATCTTATGAGCAACACGTGTGCCACGGGAGCGTACTTCAGCGTCATGACCTGCACGTGCACTACATGCGCACACCATCTCTACCTGTAACAAACTGAATATGTTTGCCCAAATTCTGTACACCGCCTACTTGTCTCAAACGCGTTTTGTGAGTTGGTTCAAGTTATCCTAGATACCAGTAGTTTAGTGTAAAGGTAACTTGCTGCCCAGACTATGTGTTTAGTGTTCATAAATGATCATGCCCACCAAAGCAAATCTGTAGGGAACCTGAAGCCGCAGTTATAGGCGACCGACCCAGTACGGCAGTATCAGAAACGATAGCGTAAAACAGCACGTGTTGCTCTTTGGTTCTCTGCAGAACAATTTAGGGAATAACTTAGTGATTAGTAATGACAGTTATGTTCTATATTTTTAATATTATAATTTCTGTACTGCACTTATCCAGGCACTAGTACTGTCGTTTTATATGTCCCTCGGCCAGTGGATCCGTTTTCATTCAAGTTATCTTTCTCAACTCCCTTGCGAGTATACAACCTAAGCTGCCTACTGGCGCTAGAGGGTTTTTACATACAGCTCATATGGTACCCATTCCCTGCTGGGTGAACAGAGGCACATTTGAACTAAGTCACTTGTCCAGGGTGACACCTCACGTTTTGACACTTGTGTGTCGGGTGTATGAACGTATTCGTGTTTCCACCATCTGGTCATCTACCGGCAAGGTGGTTCTTTTGATGCACAGGGCAAATGTACTGTACACCAGGGGCCAATAATCCTACTGTGTAGCCTCATCCCAAATTCTTCGGCCATTCTAAACTGGCAAACGTTCATTCAGTGAAATAGACAATCAGAAGAATATGCTACTCAATAAGATAATATTATTGATTTTCTTCTAAAGGGTAACACCCATCTCACTCACTGAGTCTAAAATACTTCAACATGTTATTGTGAAAATTATTCAGTTTGAATTACTTTGTTTGGTTGCATGTCTGGCGTCAACAAAACAGTGTTCGTGTGATCGAAATATGAACAAATGAATGTCCATGTAGCGAAAGCAATTCCTTAAAGCTCAGGGATCACGATCAGCCAGTCAAAAGCGTAGAATGACTGAAATGTGATATGTGAACATATTGTAATACTATGTGATATAGGCCGCTGGCTTACACACGTTTGTAAATAAAGCCGATTGATAGTGCACACTGGGCAAATATCAGAAATATGTGCAACGACATGACTTACCCCTTGGATAATAATAATTATTTATGTTATTACATATCCTGCTTAATGTTGTTAAACCCTTAACGAATGATACAGTCAAAGTCGACATAATTCTGCATTCAAAGTTCTAATATTACACAGCTAATACAAAGGATTATTCTGCACCCTTTGGTTTATTTATTTCAGATAAAACGGCGTGTCCCGCCTCGACAGTGTGTTCGGATGGGACTCCGTATCCTTGCTCGTGTTCTAAAGGATACTTTGAATACCAATGTAGTGACAGTAAGTGTATTCACATTGTCGCTGAATATATTTTTTCGTGATCCAATATTTACAGGTTTTATCACAACAAATTGTGAATTAACATCACTATCAAGAAGACAATAACCTTTGAATGCCAGATTAAACTAAAACGTCTTGACAGTCACTTATCAATTATTTCTTGCTGAACTCAACACACAATGTGAGACACGCATGTGATACTACGTCAGGTACTGTGTAATGTGTTCATGGTGAATGGGGTCGTGGTTTGTGCTTCTTAGTGTGATATCATATTTGTTTGTCATTGTCAATTGGATGAAATATATCACCTCTAAATATCACTTTCTCATTTTCGTCATGCATACTTTGAATACCAATGAAGTGACAGTACGTGTTTGCACCTTGACGCTGTGTACATTTCCTTTTCAAATATATGGAGATATTCTTACAACATAAGGTGGCACTACTGTAGACGATTCCCTTTGAATTTTAGATCGAATCACGTTTTCATAGATATGTTAACTTATAATTATTACTCACGAAACTCCACACCAAATATGTGAGCCGCACATATGAAACTACATCATCTGCTGTGTAATGTGTTCAAGATGCCAGAGATCGTTGTTTGTGCTTCTTGATGTGATGTCATATTGTGTTTGTCATTGTTAATTGAGCGAACTATATCCCTTATGTCCTCTTGATATCACCATTATTTTCCTTTTCGTGATTTTGTATGCTTTCCTTCACTTGTGTAATGCTTTCCTTTGTTCAAGCTTCAGGCGGCTGCGCCCCGGACCCATGCCAGTACTCCATTGGCTGTACTGATCTGAAGACCCTCTACCAATGTGGATGTGTCAATGGAACGGGAGGAGCCCATTGTGAGACCGGTAAGTAGCTGGTGTCTATGATTTGTTTTGTATAACGCCGCACTCAGCAATATTCCAGCTATATGACGGCGGTCTGTCAATAATCGAGTTTGGACCAGACAATCCTGTGATTGACATCATGAGCATCGATCTACGCAATTGGGATACGATGACATGCATCAAGCAAGTCAGCGAGCCTGATTTACGATGCCGTCAGTCGTCTCTTACGACAAGCATTGGTTCCTGAAGACCTATTCTCTACCCGGATCTTCACGGGTCCGGTATCTATGATGTAGGTCATTAATTAAGGATGCCTGCTGGTCTCTATTTAACTTTTTCTAAGACGAGTATTTATATTTAATAATTATTTTATCTGACTGTCTAATGACAAATGAGGGGGATAAATCTACAATCTTTTGCAGTAGGTGCTCTTGCCGACTACCACTCCGTATGCACATTTTATCATACAAGCATATATAAGGCTCTATATGATTCATGATATGTTACTTTTTAAAATGCTCTAACTGGGGCCGGGGATCGAACCCCGGACCTCCCGCTCTCCGGGAGGACGCTTTGCCACTAGACCACGGAGGCGGTCATATCATGTAGCGAGATGAAAATGCAGTGACGTCAGACATTTCATGTCATAGCATCCTGTGCAGCTGCATTATTGATAAGGTCCCCTTATTATGTGTGTCACCGCCACGCCTGTGTTCCGTGTGTTGGCAAAATGGCAATGATAGCGATGATGGTGTTCACATTACAATAAAAGCAATGGGTTAGAATTCAACCAGCAACCAACCTATTCTTGCAACTAGGATGCGCGTACTCAGCTAAGCAATATGTATTCATATGTGCCGAAATATTCCATTTTGAAACTATTATTTACTCCACGACATTGTCTGACTATTATTCGTCGATATAGTCAACGTATTAAATCAGTGTCCTACCACATTGAAAGTAGGTGAACAAACCCCTTCACTTACGGTGCCAAGAAACGTGTGATAAAGATCAAATACAATATAGTCTGTTATCATTAAACAATAAGTTTCCTTATAAGGACACAGATCGAGATGTTGCTGCCGACACCGGATGTAGAGGGTGTGTATGTGGCACAAGAAGGTCGAAATGAGTGAGTGAGTTGGGTTTAACGCTGCGTTTAACAGTATTCCATTTATATCACGGCGTGTCAGCTTAATAGGGGGGGGGGAAAGCCCTAAGTGAGGTCTAAGACGTTTACCACTTCAGATGAAACCCAAGAGCACGGGTATGGTGCTGACAAACCTAGAAACATAATCGGGGGGAACCGGGATTCGAACCAACAATCATAGGTTTCTGGTGTGCCCAAGGGACGCAACTCTGCAAGGCGAATCGCGGCGCCTTAAACGACCGGGCCACCCGTGAACCCTCAAGAAGGTCTGAAGAGTCGAAACAAATCCAAATATGTATGGATTTACCAATGCCTACCTCGGATGTGTAAACTAAGTCAAATGTTCGGTTTTACCAGGGAGACTATACAAAGGTATAGGCTGCCTTGTAATTCATTCAATATTCAGAACAAAAGAATTCTTCTTAACACAGTTTTGATAATTACAATTTTCATCACTTAAAGTTGATTGAGTTACTATTGATAAATTGTTCGTAATTCAAGATGGTGTCCATGAATTGCGCTGAATAAGCGGCGTTGTCAGTCCATGAAGTCATACGTAGTCTATGAACCATACTCCCTGAGGTTGCTTCGAGGTTATAAAATAAATATTATATATTATTATATATTAATGCTGTTGCCTAGTTCTTGTGCTGTCCGGAGAAGAAGAAAGGCTTGTTGAATGTTATTGGCTATATTCATTGATGGCTGTGCATTCGACAGCCAGTCAAACTGACGAATTGTTATCACAACAAACGTGTTTACAGCGAACGACCACATACTTTGATTGTCCTCTAATAAAACACGTTAAATAGCCTCTGAGGTTGTTTCATACACAGGCCGTGGTTTATCTTAAAACTCTGTTTGGGTGTGTCTTGACGTGGGTGTGTCGTGACGTGGATGTGTGGGTGTGTGAGCGTGTCGTGTCGTGGGTGTTTGGGTCTGTCGAATCATGTGTGTGTGTGTGGGTGTGTCGTGACGTGGGTGTGTGGATGTGTCGTGACATGGGTGTGAGGGCGTGTCGTGACGTGGATGTGTCGTGACATGGGCGTGTGGGCGTGTCATGACTTGGGTGTTTGGGTCTGTCGTGACTTGGGTGTTGGGGTCTGTCGTGACATGGTCGTGTGGGCGTGTCGTGACGTTGGTGTGTGAATGTGTCGTGACGTTGGTGTGTGGATATGTCGTGACATTGGTGTGTTGGCGTGTCGTGACGTGGGTGTTTGGGTCCATCATGACATGGTGATGTGGGCGTGTCGTGACGTGGGTGCTAGGGTCTGTCGTGACGTGGATCTGTGGATGTGTCGTGACATGGGTGTGTGGGCGTGTCGTGACTTGGGTGTTTGGGTCCATCATGACATGGTGATGTGGGCGTGTCGTGACGTGGGTGTTAGGGTCTCTCCTGACGTGGGTGTGTGAATCTGTCGTGACGTTGATGTGTGGATGTGTCGTGACATGGGTATGTTGATGTATCATGACGTGGGAATGTGTTTTTCTGATGACGTGAGTGTGCGAGTGTGCCGTGACGTGGGTGTGTGGGCGTGTCGTGACGTGGGTGTTAGGGTCTGTCGTGACATGGTGATGTTGGCGTGTCGTGACGTTGGTGTGTTGATGTGTGATGAAGTGGGTGTGGATTTGTCGTGACATGAATGCGTGGTTGTTTAAGTTATAAAGGGTCAGATTGACCGGCGTCTTAAATAAATATTTTGACAAAATAGAAAATATAATAAACAAAGGGATGGTACAATACATATGCCTTATCTCAGATGTAGTCAGGTTTACAAGTTACTTTAAAACATCCTTTTCATTTTGCCAGACATGAATAGTTTGCAGTTGTTCCCACTGACAAGACATAGCATCTGTTTGGTTTCGAATAAAATCTACAGATATCGAGCCTGCTACCCTGAAACCCCACCATTCATATACATGTATTATACTGTGCTACGGATTGAGAAATATGGTGAGATTAGTAAAGTGGTTACCCCTTCTCGGCCTTTTCCTGTCATGAACTTTAGCAACAAACGGCCAATTCGGATTATGCATTCATGTCAAATACACGTGAATGTTTCAGTATCAGGCCGCCCATGTCAAATGTGAAGTTATTCGGGCAAGACAATTTTTATTTAGTCTGCAAAGAAAGTGGGTTTGTCAAGTATTGCCGATTGTTTTTACCGACTCTTTGTAATGGCGTAATAACTTGGGGCTTGAGACGAAACGACTGTGTAGATTGCCATTCTCTTTCTGGTGATGATTAACAAATTTAAACATATTTAAATCAAAGATATGGAAAGACAGATTTGATCGTAAATATTAATGTCATGATTGAGACGTAAACATTGAAATTACCAACTCCGAAAATATCGCCAGAGCGTTATCCAGCATAGGTGGGCCCGATTAGTCCGTACACCATTAGTGCGGACACAATAAGTCCCTACCCCATTAGTTCAAACCCCGATAGTCAGGGCCCGATTAGTGCGGACACAATAAGTCCCTACCCCATTAGCTCAAACCCCGATAGCCAGGGCCTGATTAGTGCGGACACAATAAGTCCCTACCCCATTAGTTCAAACCCCGATAGCCCGGGCCCGATTAGTGCGGACACAATAAGTCCCTACCCGATTAGTTCAAACCCCGATAGCCCGAGCCCGATTAGTGCGGACACAATAAGTCCCTACCCCATTAGTTCAAACCCCGATAGTCCGGGCCCGATTAGTCCGGACACAATAAGTCCCTACCCCATTTGTTCAAACCCCGATAGTCCGGGGCCGATTAGTGAGGACACAATAAGTCCCTACCCCATTAGTTCAAACCCCGATAGCCAGGGCCCGATAAGTGCGGACACAATAAGTCCCTACCCCATTTGTTCAAACCCCGATAGCCCGGGCCCGATTAGTGCGGACACAATAAGTCCCTACCCCATTAGTTCAAACCCCGATAGCCCGGGCCCGATTAGTGCGGACACAAAAAGTCCCTACCCCATTAGTTCAAACCCTGATAGCCCGGGTCCGATTAGTGCGGACACAATAAGTCCCTACCCCATTAGTTCAAACCCCGATAGCCCGAGCTCGATTAGTGCGGACACAATAAGTCCCTACCCCATTAGTTCAAACCCCGATAGCCCGAGCCCGATTAGTGCGGACACAATAAGTCCCTACCCCATTAGTTCAAACCCCGATAGTCCGGGCCCGATTATTACGGACACAATAAGTCCCTACCCCATTTGTTCAAACCCCGATAGTCCGGGGCCGATTAGTGCGGACACAATAAGTCCCTACCCCATTAGTTCAAACCCCGATAGCCAGGGCCCGATTATTACGGACACAATAAGTCCCTACCCCATTAGTTCAAACCCCGATAGCCCGGGCCCGATTAGTGCGGACACAATAAGTCCCTACCCCATTAGTTCAAACCCCGATAGCCCGAGCTCGATTAGTGCGGACACAATAAGTCCCTACCCCATTAGTTCAAACCCCGATAGCCCGAGCCCGATTAGTGCGGACACAATAAGTCCCTACCCCATTAGTTCAAACCCCGATAGCCCGAGCCCGATTATTACGGACACAATAAGTCCCTACCCCATTAGTTCAAACCCCGATAGCCCGAGCCCGATTAGTGCGGACACAATAAGTCCCTACCCCATTCGTTCAAACCCCGATAGCCCGAGCCCGATTAGTGCGGACACAATAAGTCCCTACCCCATTAGTTCAAACCCCGATAGCCCGAGCCCGATTATTACGGACACAATAAGTCCCTACCCCATTAGTTCAAACCCCGATAGCCCGTGCCCGATTAGTGCGGACACAAAAAGTCCCTACCCCATTAGTTCAAACCCTGATAGCCCGGGCCCGATTAGTGCGGACACAATAAGTCCCTACCCCATTAGTTCAAACCCCGATAGCCCGAGCCCGATTAGTGCGGACACAATAAGTCCCTACCCCATTAGTTCAAACCCCGATAGCCCGAGCCTGATTATTACGGACACAATAAGTCCCTACCCCATTAGTTCAAACCCCGATAGCCCGTGCCCGATTAGTGCGGACACAAAAAGTCCCTACCCCATTAGTTCAAACCCTGATAGCCCGGGCCCGATTAGTGCGGACACAATAAGTCCCTACCCCATTAGTTCAAACCCCGATAGCCCGAGTCCGATTAGTGCGGACACAATAAGTCCCTACCCCATTAGTTCAAACCCCGATAGCCCGAGCTCGATTAGTGCGGACACAATAAGTCCCTACCCCATTAGTTCAAACCCCGATAGCCCGAGCCCGATTAGTGCGGACACAATAAGTCCCTACCCCATTAGTTCAAACCCCGATAGCCCGAGCTCGATTAGTGCGGACACAATAAGTCCCTACCCCATTAGTTCAAACCCCGATAGCCCGAGCCCGATTATTACGGACACAATAAGTCCCTACCCCATTAGTTCAAACCCCGATAGCCCGAGCCCGATTATTACGGACACAATAAGTCCCTACCCCATTAGTTCAAACCCCGATAGCCCGAGCCCGATAGTCCGGGCCCGATTAGTCCGTACACCATTAATTCGGACACTATTTGTTCGTACCCAATTTGTTCCTTCCAAATTACTCCAGAACCCATGATTCTCCGGCGATCAATGTTTGGAGCGACTTAATCTGTTTAAGGGAAGCATTCTTTGTTGGTCGGGAGATGTATGTATCTGGAATGACGGGGTTCCACTGTTACGACCTTTCAGCATCATCTTGCCCCTCAAATGTCGATACAAACAACAAAGAGGATGTTATCCATAAAACACATCATGCCTTCATCTTCTTCCAACTTTTATATGGTTATCAAAGACTTAAGATGTTTATTTTCGCTTGGATAAATGCCCTAATCAATGGTTTAAATCCAAAATCTTTGAAAATGAAATTAGATTATTCTAAATCTTAACCAACGTGCTCTTGTTATGTGTTTGAACGAATTACTAGGGGTTGTATTGAATAAGGTACTTATTTATCCAAATATCTCATTCAAAATACATTTGACAATCATTGTTCAGTATAACTATGAAAATATGTCATACAAATTATTTAACTGTCACCTTTTAATAATTTCACATAATTTCAATAGTTAAAGATAATCGTTTTCACCACAGATGAGTATCAGGAGCACAAAAGACATCGAATAAGCTTTAATTATTTGCATTCTATTACCATGTCAAGCAGACAAATATACAGGCGTAATATATACAGTGTATGACCACAAATACAATGTGGAAGAAATGTACAAGTATTGATCACACGAATCACACGAATTAGATTTTGGAACGCGAAAGAATGCCTTTTTTTCAATAAGAAGGTTTGCTTTCGTTTGGTGCCGTTTATCTCCTTAATTCACCCTAACTGTATGTTTGCCCAGAAATCTATACGTAAAATATTTAGTGTGAAACCAACAAACAACCAAAACATGGTAGCCAATCAACAATTGCATTACAAAATTAACTAGGTTTACCAATCAATACAAACTACTACACAGCAATTACAATGGCAGTACAATAATAGAGTGGTCGTACACTATTCAATGGCAGTATCAAATACAAAATATAGTTTATGTATTGAAAATATAATATATATCTAAATCCAATCTCAATGTACAAACGTCCTGTATTTCGGTGCTTATTATTTGGACAGAAAAAAGGCTATTGGATTTTATGTTTAGTTCTTAGCCACATCGTCGATTGTGGCAATAATTATAATATTAGCTGAGATATATAAAGATATCATTACGACCGTGAAAGCACATAACACATGACACATTCATAATCAAACAAGCATAATTAGTTCTTGTTAATTCTTCATGTAAATGTTTGTACATATTTGACGAGTGTGCAACAAACCCATGTGTGCACGGTACATGTGTCGACCACGTCAATAACTACACCTGTGACTGTGAACCTGGGTATACAGACAGGAACTGCAGCACAGGTGAGAAGGCCTTCCCTGTCTCACACAGGTTTTATTTTCAGTATTATAACCTCATTAGCCCGGACCCAATTAGGTCGGACACCATGCTTTCCAGGCGATTAAGACTATCTGCGACCGAACATATACAAGGAAATGTATTCATTAACTATTATTCGTTTGTTCAGATAATTATGTATTTGGGCCGTTTTGGTTAATTCTTTATGTAACTGTTTGTAGATATTGACGAGTGTGCAACAAACCCATGTGTGCACGGTACATGTGTCGACCACGTCAATAACTACACCTGTGACTGTGAACCTGGGTATACAGACAGGAACTGCAGCACAGGTGAGAAGGCCTTCCCTGTCTCACACAGGTTTTATTTTCAGTATTATAACCTCATTAGCCCGGACCCAATTAGGTCGGACACCATGCTTTCCAGGCGATTAAGACTATCTGCGAACGAACATATACAAGGAAATGTATTCATTAACTATTATTCGTTTGTTCAGATAATTATGTATTTGGGCCGTTTTGGTTAATTCTTTATGTAACTGTTTGTAGATATTGACGAGTGTGCAACAAACCCATGTGTGCACGGTACATGTGTCGACCACGTCAACAACTACACCTGTGACTGTGAACCCGGGTATACAGACAGGAACTGCAGCACAGGTGAGAAGGCCTTCCCTGTCTCACACAGGTTTTATTTTCAGTATTATAACCCCATCAGTTCGGACACCATGCTTCCAGGCGATTACGACTATCTGCGACCGAGGACACTAGAGTTCACGAGTAGCACAGCACGAGTATTTCATCACCAAATACATAATAATGGATTTTATTCACGAAATAAGATAGGGTGAGGTGATATGGGGTTTCACGTCGTGTTATACTAGGACACACTATACTTACTCTGAGCCGGTCGGACTTTGTTTCACATCCGTAAAACCGCCGTACACAAGTTCCGTGCAAAATTATACTTTATCTTTTGGTATGACGCGGCCTTCACGTGTTATCGTTGTATATCATATGGTTGCTTTTCTGCATTCGGATGACTGCCAGTGAATGTGTTTTTGTTCATTTCTATAAGCAAACGAATACACCCTTTGGACAACGTTTACATATTTATGAAGTCACTGTGTATAATATTATTCATGATAAATAAATAGGTTGTCGACCGGTTCATCTTGCATTTAGCTAACCCAGCTGTTCCTATCAGAATTCGATAACATCTGGCTCGTCCGCCCGCTAACCATCCAATCACTTAACCAACTCACCCCCAAACCCACCTATGTATCAAATGTTTACGTTCTGTTTTCGTTGCTCCAACCATGACACTTGCAAGAATATTTCCCAATATTTAACCGTTTTTTCTCGTTTATCTTTAGGTGCTTCAGCGATGCCAAAGGGACGACGCTTCGTTGCAGCGTTCTTTGAACAACCATACCAAGCTTCAAGCTTTCCAAACATGTTCTTTGTGATTCTGTCTGAATTCAATGCCACTGTTCACGTTGAGAGTGGATTCGGTATTTCAGAAGATTTACACATCCAAGGCATGGTCGACTACAAGTACAAAGTTGATGAAAGTTTTTATTACCAAGCCAACCTACAGGTGACTGACATGTCATTCTACTTTACATCCACTGAGGAAATAACCTTGTTCTGTTATCACGTACTTGTTACTGCAGGAGAAGGATATCTTGCTTTGCCGATTGAGACTTTATCCACGGAATACATTGTAGTGACACACATTGATAATCACAGAGCTCCTGTCCCTGAACTTCCCTACACAAAGACCACACAGACTGCTTTCCTCATCATCGCTACGGAGAACAATACCCAGGTGAACACCAGTCTTAAGATACAAGGACCCCTCATGGCAGGTGGGTGTGGCAATGGGACATTCTTCAATGGGGAGAACAGAACATTTACACTCAACAAGTATCAGACAGTTGGCGCCTACTGTGCAGAGGACATTACTGGAACACTGATCACCAGTGACAAACCCGTGGCTGTGATTAGTGGGCATAACATGAAGTTTACTCCTTACGTTAAAGACGGCATGCAAGAAATGTTGCTGCCTGTGAAATCATTTGGAAGAAGCTTTTACTTGCCAGTACCACCACCTAGTACTGGTGGTGCTATATACAGAGTTGTTGGATCAACAGCGTCGACCTCCGTACGCTCCCCGTCCGTCAGTGGTATATCTTTCTCCGTGGGTGCACGGGAGTCTCATGACATAACTGTTGACTCTACCACAGGTCCAGTGTACATTGAAGCCGATAAACCTGTCCTGGTTGTGCAGATGACTATAGACATCCCGTCACTCGCAATAGTTCCACCAACAAGTTTATACTCCAGGTCCTATAACATTGGAAAACCCGTTCTTCATCCGACATTTGACCTGAAGAAGGTGTATATAACAGTCATTGTTCCCACTGACAAGGTTCTAGGAATACGACCACATATATTTCCCCAATTCAAAGTAATTAAAGGGAGCTGTTTCTCTGAGGCATCAGTGGAATTGACATCACCAGGATTCTACCGCCTGACCCACGTGGATGATGTTCCATTTGGCGCTATGATGTACGTGTTTCCGTTTGTGGATAGTCAGTGTGTATATACCCATCCAGCCGGAATGAATCTGACAAATGATGTTGGTAAGTACAGTATCAACGTTCACAATAGCTACCTGCCCTTTATCAAGTTACCATTTTAACCTGTCAGTTAACGTTGAAAACTAGTAACAGCAAACACTGCTTGAACTTTGGGGGTATTGAGAAATATACGTTTTCACATTAGGATCATAAGTTGTCGTACCCATACATCACAAAGCTTGTTTTGAGTTAGTGTTTGTTTGTTGTTTTGTTTGTTGACGTCGCACTCAGCAATATTCAAACTATATGACTGGGGTCTGTGGTTTCATGGGTCTGAACCAGGCGTTCGAGTGATTGACATCATGAGCATGGGTCATAATGAACATTGAAGCAAGAACTCAATATAGCTTGTGAATGTGGATAAGTCTTAATTAGACCATAGCCTTCGGGTCACATTACAAGTAACGGGGATTCCAATTTAGAAACCTCTAGTGTGTGATCAATCGGTTTCATTGGACAGATTGAAATATAGAATAGGTTCACATTGACATCGTTTTTAAAGCGATTATGACATAACATGTAGAACTCGGATGTTCATTTCAAGCTAACATTGTAGAGGGACATATACCTTGCTACCGATCTAGCCTCTTTAAATTCTATGTTTTTATTGCATCTTTACACGCTTTAATTTAATATCAGGTCTATGCCCTGAGTTAAAAAATGTTCAATTTGCCCGACGTTTATATTGATATTAAATCCGTTTTATATGAAGCAAGTGTAATATTCTATTTACAACAACATAGTTAATTTGAAAAGGGAACAACGAAAACAAACAGTTTCATTAACGTGTATATCGCATCTAAAAAGGTCAAGGCTATAACGCTTGTTGACCTTACCCTAACGGTTATATCAGTTATGTCATATGGCGCCCCCCTGCCCCCCCCCCCCCCCCCCCCCCCCCCCGGATTTTTTATAGAAAAAGTTTTATTTGAATCATGAAAATACAAGTTGGGGACAAGTGATACTTGTTCAAATATTTGCCTACCCCCCCAACCCACACCCCCCACCCCCGTCAAACAAAGTAAACTACGGCCTTGAAAACTGTACGTGGTTTGCAAATTTTAAAGCCAAACTCGTGTCTTAACAGTGTAGTAACAATTATCATAATCGAGAAAACGCTAAGTTCGCCTTATAGCTTCTAGTCTGTCTAAACACACACGAAACGTTCCATTGAGAGGTCACCGAGTGCATCAACTGACAACACTGTCAAGACTAACGACAAAACCGTGATTCAAGCCCGAAACACTACGACGAAGTGCACTGTTGGAAATGTTTCACGTACAGTTCACTGGATGTTTCACACGATGTTTGCTATGGCTCGTTCCTTCGTTTTATTTAGTTCGAGTTGAAACCAAGGCGTTCAAAATGTCTAACGCTGCCAACCTTTCCGGTAAGCTGAGGTGGCGTGAGATTTAATGTCGCGTTAGTGCGCCTATATACGTTAAGATTGTGTATGTATGTGCGTATGTGCGTGTCAGCGAGCCTGACCACCCGATCCCGTTAGTCGCCTCTTACGACAAGCATGGGTTGCTGAAGACCAATTCTAACAGGGAAATGAGGGGCACGGGTGGCCAGTCGTCTAAGGCGCAGCGATTCGCTGTGCAGAGTTGCGTCCCTTGGGCACGCCAGAAACCTATGATTGTGGGTTCGAATTCCGGTTCGCCCCGATTATGTTTCTAGGTTTGTCAGCACCATACCCGTGTTCGTGGGTTTCACCAAAGTGGTAAACGTCTGAGACCTGCATCACTTCGGGCTTTCCTCCCACATTAAGCAGACACGCCGTGATATAACTGGAATAATGTTAAAAGCGGCGTTAAACTCAACTCACTCACTCACTCTTACCCGGAATCTTCACGGGACAGATAACAATTGAGAAGTATCGTGACAATGAAGGGAATTCCTTTGCTGTAAAAATTTAATACTTCTGTTTACCCAGAAAGCAATAATGAATAGTGACACTGTCATGTCATTCATCAAATGATTGTTAAGGATGAGACATTAACATAGTGATAGTTGACATACTCCTGAATTAATCCTGTGTGATTGTTTTTGGGGTTTCAGCATACTGTAAACGTAATATTGCTAGCTAGATTTCTATTGATATAACTGGTTAATGATAGCTTTGACATGTTTATTTGTTTGTAATTAACTTCTTTATATCAAACAATTTTTAGAGAATTCTTGTATCTTGTACCGACCTCTGAATAATCTTATGAGCAACACGTGTGTCCACGGGAGCAAATCTAGTTCATCGGCATGACCTGCACGTGCACTACATGCGCACACCATCTCTACCTGTAACAAACTAAATATGTTTGCCCAAATTCTGTACACCGCCTACTTGTCTCAAACGCGTTTTGTCAGTTGGTTCAACTTATCCTGGATTACACGTACAGTAGTTTAGTGTAAAGGTAACTTGCTGCCCAGACTATGTGTTTAGTGTTCATAAATGATCATGCCCACCAAAGCAAATCTGTAGGGAACCTGAAGCCGCAGTTATAGGCACCGACCCAGTACGGCAGTATCAGAAACGATAGCGTAAAACAGCACGTCTTGCTCTTTGGTTATCTTCAGAACAATTTAGGGAATAACTTGGTGATTAGTAATGTCCGTTATGTTCTATTTTCTTTATATTATAATTTATGTACTGCACTTATCCAGGCACTAGTACTGTCGTTTTATATGTCCCTCGGCCAGTGGATCCGTTTTCATTCAAGTTATCATTCTCAACTCCCTTGGGAGTATACAACCTAAGCTGCCTACTGGCGCTAGAGGGTTTTTACATCCAGCTCATATGGTACCCATTCCCTGCTGGGTGAACAGAGTCACATTTGAACTAAGTCACTTGTCCAGTGTGACACCTCACGTTTTGACACTTGTGTGTCGGGTGTATGAACGTATTCCTGTTTCCACCATCTAGTCATCTACCGGCGAGTGGGTTCTTTTGAGTACACAGGGTGAATGTATTGTACACCAGGGGCAAATAATCCTACTGTGTAGCCTCATCCCAAATTCTTCGGCCATTCTAAACTGGCAAACGTTCATTCAGTGAAAAAGACAATCAGAATAATATGCTACTCAATTAAATTCTACTATTGTGTTTTTTTTTTATTCTAAAGAACATAGTTCCAAGTGGCGTTACACCCATCCCACTCACTGACTCTAAAATACTTCAACATTTGATAGTGAAAATAGAAAATTATTCCGTTTGAATTACTTTGTTTGCTTGCATATCTGGTGTCAACAAAACTGTGTTTGTGTGATCGAAATATGAACAAATGAATGTCCATGTAGCGAAAGCAATTCCTTAAAGCTCAGGGATCACGATCAGCCAGTCAAAAGCGTAGAATGACTGAAATGTGATATGTGCACATATTGTAATACTATGTGATATAGGCCCCTGGCTTACACACGTTTGTAAATAAAGCCTGTTGATAGTGCACGCTGTACCAATACCAGAAATATGTGCAACGATATGACTTACCGCTGGGGTAATAATATATGTTATTACATATCCTGTTTAATGTTGTTAAATGCTTAACGAATGATACAGTCAAAGTCAACATAATTCTGCATTCAAATTTCTCAAAGTCCTCACACAGCTAATACAAAGGATTATTCTGCACCTTTTGGTTTATTTATTTCAGATAAAACCACGTGTCCCGCCTCGACAGTGTGTTCGGATGGGACTCCGTATCCTTGCTCGTGTTCTAAAGGATACTTTGAATACCAATGTAGTGACAGTAAGTGTATTCACATTGTCACTGAATATATTTTTTCGTGATCAAATATTTACAGGTTTTATCACAACAAATCGTGAATTAACATCACTATCAAGAAGATAATAACCTTTGAATGCCAGATTATGCTAAGATGTCTTGGCAGTTATCTATCATTTATTACTTGCTTAACCCAACACACAATGTGAGACACGCATGTGATACTACGTCAGGTACTGTGTAATGTGTTCATGGTGAATGGGGTCGTGGTTTGTGCTTCTTAGTGTGATATCATATTTGTTTGTCATTGTCAATTGGATGAAATATATCACCTCTAAATATCACTATCTCATTTTTGTCATGCATACTTTGAATACCAATGAAGTGACAGTACGTGTTTGCACCTTGACGCTGTGTACATTTCCTTTTCAAATATATGGAGATATTCTTACAACATAAGGTGGCACTACTGTAGACGATTCCCTTTGAATTTTAGATCGAATCACGTTTTCATAGATATTTATTGTTAACTTATAATTATTACTCACGAAACTCCACACCAAATATGTGAGCCGCACATATGAAACTACATCATCTGCTGTGTAATATGTTCAGGATGCCAGAGATCGTTGTGTGTGCTTCTTGATGTGATGTCATATTGTGTTTGTCATTGTTAATTGAGCGAACTATATCCCTTATGTCCTCTTGATATCACCATTATTTTCCTTTTCGTGATTTTGTATGCTGTGAAGCTTTCCTTCACTTGTGTAATGCTTTCGTTTGTTCAAGCTTCAGGCGGCTGCGCCGCGGACCCCTGCCAGTACTCCAGTGGCTGTACTGATCTGAAGACCCTCTACCAATGTGGATGTGTCAATGGAACGGGAGGAGCCCATTGTGAGACCGGTAAGTAGCTGGTGTCTATGATTTGTTTTGTATAACGCCGCACTCAGCAATATTCCAGCTATATGACGGCGGTCTGTCAATAATCGAGTCTGGACCAGACAATCCTGTGATTGACATCATGAGCATCGATCTACGCAATTGGGATACGATGACATGCATCAAGCAAGTCAGCGAGCCTGATTACCCGATGCCGTCAGACGTCTCTTGCGACAAGCATTGAAGACCTATACTCTACCCGGATCTTCACGGGTCCGGTATCTATGATGTAGGTCATTAATTAAGGATGCCTGCTGGTCTCAATTTAACTTTTTCTAAGACGAGTATTTATATTTAATAATTATTTTATCTGACTGTCCAATGACAAATAAGGGGGGATAAATCTACATTCTTTTGCAGTAGGTGCTCTTGCCGACTACCACACCGAATGCACACTTTATCATACAAGCATATATAAAGCTCTATGTGATTCATGATATGTTACTTTTTAAAATGCTCTAACTGGGGCCGGGGATCGAACCCCGGACCTTCCGCTCTCCGGGCGGACGCGTTGCCACTAGACCACGGAGGCGGTCACATCATGTAGCGAGATGAAAATGCAGTGACGTCAGACATTTCATGTCATAGCATTCTGTGCAGCTGCTTTATAGATAAGGTCCCCTTATGATGTGTGTCACCGCCACGCCTGTGTTCCTTGGTTGGCAAAATGGCAATGATAGCGATGATGGTGTTCACATTACAATAAAAGCAATGGGTCAGAATTCAACCAGCAACCAACCTATTCTTGCAACTAGGATGCGCGTACTCAGCTCAGCAATATATATTCATATATGTCGACGAATTCCCTTTTGAAACTATTATTTACTCCACGACATTGTCTGACTATTATTCGTCGATATAGTCAACGTACCAAATCAGTGTCCTACCACATTGAAAGAAGGTGAACAAACCCCTTCACTTACGGTGCCAAGAAACGTGTGATAAAGATCAAATACAATATAGTCTGTTATCATAAAACAATAAGTTTCCTTATAAGGACACAGATCGAGATGTTGTTGCCGAAACCGGATGTAGAGGGTGTGTATGTGGCACAAGAAGGTGAGTGAGTGAGTTGGGTTTAACGCTGCGTTTAACAGTATTCCAGTTATATCACGGCGTGTCAGCTTAATATGGGAAGAAAGCCCGAAGTGATGCAGGTCTTACCACTTCGGTGAAACCCACGAGCACGGGTATGGTGCTGACAAACCTAGAAACATAATCGGGGCGAACAGGGATTCGAACCAACAATCATAGGTTTCTGGCGTGCCCAAGGGACACAACTCTGCACAGCGAATCGCTGAAGAGTCAAAACAAATCCAAATGAGTAAGGATTTACCAATGCCTACCTCGGATGTGTAAACTAAGTGAAATGTTCGGTTATACCAGGGAGACTATAAAAAAGGTATAGACTGCCTTGTAATAAATTCAATATTCAGAACAAAAGAATTCTTCTTACCACGGTTTTAATAATTAAAATTTTCATCACTTAAAGTTGATTGAGTTACTATTCATAAATTGTTCGTAATTCAAGATGGTGTATATGAATTGCGCTGAATAAGCGGCGTTGTCAATCCATGAAGTTATACGTAGTCTATGAACCATACTCACAGAGGTTGATTCGAGGTTATAAAATATATATTATATATTATTATATAATATTTTTTTTAATTTGAAGTTTACACGATATACGGCTTTTCCATTGGACAAGAGGACGGTCACATGACCGCGAAATTGACCTTCATAAGTGTATGAACGACACAATTTGACGTTCATACGTTTTTCAAGAGACTGTGTTCTTGAAATGACGTAAACACTGACAGACTACTTCCACATTCCCGCGGAAAGCCCTGGGAATTCCCTAGCACGAAAACATACATAAGCGGTCTTTCTGATCTTTTGGAACCTACAATCTTGGTCTCAGCGTTTCAGTATGCATTGAGAAAAGTCAGAGTGCATGACTGCATGATTGTTCACGCTACGGCCCATCCTAATGAGCAAACGAAGAAATGCACATCCAAACTATCGTAGTATCGACTCGATCCGTGTCTAGGCTGACAGTGGCCGTCTTAATTTACCTATGAATTTACCTTTGTGTCTGTTTGACGCATCTTTAATCACCTTTCAATGATCGGCCAGTTGATCAATGATGACTAACACATGTAACCGCCACAGGTTCATTAACAACTTCGGACGTGGGTGTGTTGATGTGTCGTGACATGGGTGTGTGGGCGTGTCGTGACGTGGATGTGTCGTGACATGGGTGTGTGGGCGTGTCGTGACATGGATGTTTGGGTCTGTCGTAACATGTGTGTGTGTGGGTGTGTCGTGACGTGGGTGTGTGGATGTGTCATGACATGGATGTGTGGGCGTGTCGTGACGTGGATGTGTCGTGAAATGGGCGTGTGGGCGTGTCGTGACTTGGATGTTTGGGTGTGTCGTAACATGTGTGTGTGGGTGTGTCGTGACGTGGGTGTGTGGATGTGTCGTGACATGGATGTGTGGGCGTGTTGTGACTTGGATGTGTCGTGACATGGGTGTGTGGGCGTGTCGTGACGTGGATGTGTCGTGACATGGGTGTGTGGGCGTGTCGTTACGTGGATGTTTGGGTGTGTCGTAACATGTGTGTGTGTAGGTGTGTCGTGACGTGGGTGTGTGGATTTGTCGTGACATGGGTGTATGGGCGTGTCGTGACGTGGATGTGTCGTGATATGGGCGTGTGGGCGTGTCGTGACGTAGATGTTTGGGTGTGTCGTAACATGTGTGTGTGTGGGTGTGTCGTGACGTGGGTGTGTGTGTGGGTGTGTCGTGACGTGGGTGTGTGTGTGGGTGTGTCGTGACATGGGTGTGTGGATGTGTCGTGACGTTGGTGTGTGGATGGGCGTGACATGGGTGTGTGGGCGTGTCGTGACATGGATGTTTGGGTGTGTCGTAACATGTGTGTATGTGGTGTGTCGTGACGTCGGTGTGTGGATGTGTCGTGACGTTGGTGTGTGGATGGACGTGACATTGGTGTGTGGGCGTGTCGTGACATGGATGTTTGGGTCTGTCGTAACATGTGTGTGTGTGGGTGTGACGTGGTTGTGTGGATCTGTCATGACATGGATGTATGGGCGTGTCGTGACGTGGATGTGTCGTGAAATGGGTGTGTGGGCGTGTCGTGACGTGGATGTTTGGGTGTGTCGTAACGTGTGTGTGTGTGGGTGTGTCGTGACGTGGGTGTGTGAATTTGTCGTGACATGGGTGTGTGGGCGTGTCGTGACGTGGATGTGTCGTGATATGGGTGTTGGGCGTGTCGAGACGTGGAAGTTTGGGTCTGTCGTAACATGTGTGTGTGTGGGTGTGTCGTGACGTGGTAGTGTGGATGTGTCGTGACATGGGTGTGTGGGCGTGTCGTGACGTGGATGTTTGGGTCTGTCGTAACATGTGTGTGTGTGGGCGTGTCGTGACATGGGTGTGTGGATGTGTCGTGACATGGGTGTGAGGGCGTGTCGTGACGTGGATTTGTCGTGACATGGGTGTTAGGGCGTGTCGTGACGTGGGTGTTAGGGTCCGTCGTGACATGGTGGTGTGGGCGTGTCGAGACGCCATAGTTTTTTCGCCATAGTTCGCTATATTTTTTCATAGTGTCGTGACGTGGGTGTGTGGATGTGTCGTGACATGGGTGTGAGGGCGTGTCGTGACGTGGATGTGTCGTGACATGGGTGTTAGGGCGTATCGTGACGTGGGTGTTAGGGTGTGTCGTGACATGTGTGTGTGTGGGTGTGTCGTGACGTGGGTGTGTGGCTGTGTCGTGACGTTGGTGTGTGGATGGGCGTGACATAGGTGTGTGGGCGTGTCGTGACATGGATGTTTGGGTCTGTCGTAACATGTGTGTGTGTGGGTGTGTCGTGACGTGGGTGTGTGGATGTGTCGTGACATGGGTGTGTGGGCGTGTCGTGACGTGGATGTGTCGTGACATGGGTGTTGGGCGTGTCGTGACGTGGAAGTTTGGGTCTGTCGTAACATGTGTGCGTGTGGGTGTGTCGTGACGTGGGTGTGTGGATGTGTCGTGACATGGGTGTGAGGGCGTGTCGTGACGTGGATGTGTCGTGACATGGGTGTTAGGGCGTATCGTGACGTGGGTGTTAGGGTGTGTCGTGACATGTGTGTGTGTGGGTGTGTCGTGACGTGGGTGTGTGGCTGTGTCGTGACGTTGGTGTGTGGATGGGCGTGACATAGGTGTGTGGGCGTGTCGTGACATGGATGTTTGGGTCTGTCGTAACATGTGTGTGTGTGGGTGTGTCGTGACGTGGGTGTGTGGATGTGTCGTGACATGGGTGTGTGGGCGTGTCGTGACGTGGATGTGTCGTGACATGGGTGTCGGGCGTGTCGTGACGTGGAAGTTTGGGTCTGTCGTAACATGTGTGCGTGTGGGTGTGTCGTGACGTGGGTGTGTGGATGTGCCGTGACATGGATGTGTGGGCGTGTCGTGACGTGGATGTTTGGGTCTGTCGTAACATGTGTGTGTGTGGATGTGTCGTGATGCTGGGTGTGTGGATGTGTCGTGACATGGGTGTGAGGGCGTGTCCTAACGTGGATGTGTCGTGACATGGGTGTGTGGGCGTGTCGTGACGTGGGTGTTAGGGTCTGTCGTGACATGGTGGTGTGGGCGTGTCGAGACTCAATAGTTTTTCTGAAAAATCCGTGTGGGTGTGTCTTGACATGGGCGGTGGATGTGTCGTGACATGGGTGTGTGGCTGTGTCGTGACGTGGATGTGAGGGTGTGTCGTGACATGGGTGTGTGGGCGTGTCGTGACGTGGGTGTTTGGGTCTGTCGTTACATGTGTGTGTGGGTGTGTCGTGACATTGCTGTGTGGGCGTGCCGTGACGTGGATGTGTTGGGACATGGGTGTGTGGGCGTGTCGTGACATTTGTGTTTGGGTCTGTCGTGACGTGGGTGTGTGAATGTGTCGTGACGTTAGTGCGTGGATGTGTAGTGACATGGGTGTGTTGATGTATCATGACGAGGGAGTATGTTTGTGTGATGACCTGAGTGTGTGAGTGTGCCGTGACGTGGGTGTGTGGATGTGTCGTGACGTGGGTGTGTTGATGTATCATGACGTGGGAGTGTGTTTGTGTGATGACGTGAGTGTGTGAGTGTGCCGTGACGTGGGTGTGTGGATGTGTCGTGACGTGGGTGTGTGAGTGTGCCGTGACTTGGGTGTGTGGATGTGCCGTGACGTGGGTGTGATGATGTATCATGACGTGGGAGTGTGTTTGTGTGATGACGTGAGTGTGTGAGTGTGCCGTGACGTGGGTGTGTGGATGTGTCATGACGTGGGTGTGTGAATGTGTCGTGATGTGAGCGTGTGAGTGTGTCGTGACATGGGTGTGTGGATGTGTGATGACATGAGTGTGGAAGTGTGCCGTGACGTGGGTGTGTGGATGTGTCGTGACGTGGGTGTGAATGTGTCGTGACGTTGGTGTGTGGATGTGTGCATCTGTTTGGTTTCGAATAAAATCTACAGATATCGAGCCTGCTACACTGAAACCCCAACATTCATATATTATTCTGTGCTACGGATTGAGAAATATGGTGAATTAGTAAAGTGGTTACCGTTTCTCGGGCTTTTCCTGTCATGAACTTCAACAACAAACGGCAAATTCGGATTATGCATCCATGTCAAATACACGTGAATGTTTCAGTATCAGGCCGCCCATGTCAAATGTGTAGTTTTTCGTGCAAGACAATTTATATTTAGTCTGCAAAAAAGTGTGTTTTGTCAAGTATTGCCGACTGTTTTTACCGACTCCTTGTCATTGCGAATTCACTTGGGGCTTGAGACGAAACGACTGTGCAGATTACCATTCTCTTTTTGATGATGATTCACAAATTTAAACATATTTAAATCCAAGATATGGAAAGACAGCTTTGATTGTAAATATTAATGTGGTCATGATTTAGACGTAAACATTGAAATTACCAACTGTGCCTAATTTCTTGCTTACACGTTGTCTTATAACTGTTGCATTCTTTATATGAAATGACCAAGAGCCATTCAAAAGTGTGACTACGTCATCTAAGCGTAAGTCGACGCCATATTGTAAACAAGTTGTGTCAAGGTCGGTGTCTCGGCCCCCGGATCTGTTGATTACACACGCAGTAAAATAATACATCTCCTGAAAACATCAACTTCGCTCCTAAAATGACAACTACTACCTTTTTATATTTGAGTTAAACGCTTTGGGATACCATGTGCTGCGAACAATGACATGCAAAAGAGAGAAACAAAGGAAAAGCGAATAGAGAATTGTTGTCTATTTGGATTTACTATGTAAGTGAAGAAATACGTACACATTTTCAAACGTTTATTTTCAAAATCATGATGAAAATTATGTTCATGCATTTCAGCATTTTTCAAGACACCAATGGTGTAGAAAGCAATACGTCGCTTATTTCAACTCAACTGTCTATTTGCAATGTGATTTTCTTCATCTTCTGGTTCTCCTCTTCATTTGCTATAATTCTTTCCTCATTTAACTGAAACTGATAATGATATTATTCATATGAAAATATGAAAATGTATTACACATTTTAAATTTCCATGAAGACAATGGAATATCGTTAGGGTGCGTATTGTCAATATTCTGCAGCGGATCTTAATACGAAATTGATGTAGAGTATACTCACATCACGGTAGGAAAGATCCTCACGTTGACCGTGGTTCGTCTAAGGTTCAGGGGCGGTCGGGTAACCTAGTGGTTAAAGCATTCGCTCGTCACGCCGAAGACCCGGGTTCGATTCCCGACATGGGTACAATGTGTGAAGCCCATTTCTGGTGTCCCCCGCCGTGATATTGCTGGAATACCGCCAAAAGTGGCGTAAAACCATACTCACTCACTCGTCTAAGGTTCTAATCCTGGTTCGCCCCGATTATGATTCTAGGTTTGTCAGCACCATACCCGTGCTCTTGGGTTTCACCGAGGTGGTAAACGTCTGAGACCTGCACCACTTCGGGCTTTCCTCCCACATCAAGCTGACACACCGCGATGTGACTGGAATACTGTTAAAAGCGGCGTAAAACCCAACTCAGAGTATGTTTATGGCTTGACCAACATTGAACGAATTTGTCACAGTTTTATAATTTTAGTATGCTGACAACAATGTGCACAGTTGAGTTTGGAATGGAATGTTTCACAATTTCTCGAATACCTGGTGTCATCACTGTTTGGGAGTGATTCAGAAACACATGCTTATGATGTAGACGGAATCGTACATTAGACAGAGCAGAGATTTCTTATGATTATGGAAATGTTTTTGTCACGTCCCTAGGTCCTATAACTGGTTGTAGGCCTCTCAACGTCAAATGTTCCAGTGTTTGATGTTGTTAAAGCAGGACATTATTAGGCTCTCACATTCATGAGTGTCACCTTTAATTCATACATTGGACAGGTAACTACACCACAACGGGACGGACGCCCGGGCTTTAGTGTGAGGACAATGCCCCTAAGATAGCATGATAATATCGCGGGTTTTTTCGCATTAGTGTTGAGACATTTCTTGAAAATCTAGGGAAAGTTACTATCGAAATGTAGTGTAGTTGTACTTTGAGATTACAGTTATTAGGACAAACGTTCAGACCTCAGGAATCACGTAAATATAGAGATATGAAATTTACAGCAGTTCATGTAAACGCAGTATCCGTTCTGTCTCATCAGATCTCGTAAGATTGATTTTACATGCCATGTCTGAAGTTTTAAAAGGGGAATGTGACTTTTTATTATTGAAGAATCATTTTCGTAGACCTGGAGGTTGTGTATTTCCAGATGTCATAGATAGTTGCGCCAACAACAGCTGTGCAAACGGCATCTGCGTCGATCAGCTGGAGTCGTACAGCTGTAACTGTACAGCTGGATACAGTGGCAGCCTCTGTGAGATAGGTGAGTATCGCTGCATTGCTGTCAGCCTGCATGTGCTCGAGCCCAATTAGTTCGGACCCCGATAGTCCGTACCCTATTGTTCGAACACTCTATTAGTTCGGATCCCGATTGTCCGTACCTCATTAGTCCGGGTCCCGTTAGGTCGGACACTATTAGTCCGAGCCCCATTAGTTTAGGCCCCGATAGTCCGTACCCCAATAGTGCGGACACCATTAGTTCGGACAACATTAGCTCGGATCCCGATAGTCCGTACCTCATTAGTCCGGGCCCCGTTAGTTCGGACACCATTAGTCCGGACACCATAAGTTTAGGCCCCGATAGTCCGTACCCCATTAGTGCGTACCCCATTAGTTCGGACACCATTAGTGCGGACACAATAAGTCCCTACCCCATTAGTTCAAACCCCGATAGTCCGGGCCTGTTTAGTCCGTACACCATTAGTCCGTGGACCATTAGTTCGGACACCATTAGTTCGGACAACATTAGTTCGTACCCAATTGCTTCTCCAGCGATCAATGTTTGGAGCGACTTAATCTGTTTAAGGGAAACATTCTTTGTTGGTCGGGAGATGTATGCATCTGGAATGACGGGGTTTCACTGTAACGACCTTTCAGTATCATCTTGCCCCTCAAATGTCGTTACAAACAATAAAGAGGATATTATCCATAAAACACATCATGCCTTCATGATATAAATGCTCTAATTGATGGTTTACATCCAAAATCTTTGAAATTGAAATTATATTATTCTAAATCTTAATTAACGTGCTCTTGTTATGTGTTTGAACGAATTACTAGGGGTTGTATTGAATAAGGTACTTATTTATCGAAATATATCATTCAAAATACATTTGACAATCATTGTTCAGTATAACTATGAAAATATGTCATACAAATTATTGAACTAAATAATTTCTATTGGAGGCTATTGGATTTTATGTTTAGTTATCAGCCGGGACGTCGATTCTGGCAATTATTATAATATATTTCGGCGGTTATAAATGTGACAGAAGAAAGGCTATTGAATTTAATGTTTAGTTATCAGCCACGACGATAATTGTGACAATAATTATAATATTAGCTGGGATATATAAAGGTATCATTACGACCGTGAAAGCACATAACACATAACACATACATAATCAAACAAGCATAATTAGTTCCTGTTAATTCATAAATAAATGTAACTGTTTGTAGATATCGACGAGTGTGCAACAAACCCATGTGTGCACGGTACATGTGTCGACCACGTCAACAACTACACATGTGACTGTGAACCTGGGTATACAGACAGGAACTGCAGCACAGGTGAGAAGGCCTTCCCTGTCTCACACAGGTTTTATTTTCAGTATTATAACCTCATTAGTCCGGACCCTGTTAGGTCGGACACCATGCTTTCCGGGCGATTAAGACTATCTGCGAACGAAGATACTAGTATACAAGGAAAAATATTCAGTAACGATAATTCGTTTGTTCGGATAATTATGTATTTGGACAGTTTGGTTAATTCTTTATGTTACTGTTTGTAGATGTTGACGAGTGTGCAACAAACCCATGTGTGAACGGTACATGTGTCGACCACGTCAACAACTACACATGTGACTGTGAACCTGGGTATACAGACAGGAACTGCAGCACAGGTGAGAAGGCCTTCCCTGTCTCACACAGGTTTTATTTTCAGTATTATAACCTCATTAGCCCGAACCCCATTAGGTCGGACACCATGTTATCCAGGCGATTACGACTATTTGCGACCGAACATATACAAGGAAATGTACTCATTAACGATTATTCGTTTGTTCAGATAATTATGTATTGGGGCAGTGTTAGTTAACTACATGTAACTGTTTGTAGATATCGACGAGTGTGCAACTAAACCATGAGTTCGGACAACATTAGCGCGGATCCCGATAGTCCGTACCTCATTAGTCCGGGCCCCGTTAGTTCGGACACCATTAGTCCGGACACCATAAGTTTAGGCCCCGATAGTCCGTACCCCATTAGTGCGGACCCCATTAGTTCGGACACCATTAGTGCGGACAACAATAAGTCCCTACCCCATTAGTTCAAACCCCGATAGTCCGGGCCTGTTTAGTCCGTACACCATTAGTCCGTACACCATTAGTTCGGACACCATTAGTTCGGACATCATTAGTTCGTACCCAATTACTCCAGACCCAATGCTTCTCCAGCGATCAATGTTTGGAGCGACTTAATCTGTTTAAGGGAAACATTCTTTGTTGGTCGGGAGATGTATGCATCAGGAATGACGGGGTTTCACTGTAACGACCTTTCAGTATCATCTTGCCCCTCAAATGTCGTTACAAACAATAAAGAGGATATTATCCATAAAACACATCATGCCTTCATGATATAAATGCTCTAATCGATGGTTTACATCCAAAATCTTTGAAATTGAAATTATATTATTCTAAATCTTAATTAACGTACTCTTGTTATGTGTTTGAACGAATTACTAGGGGTTGTATTGAATAAGGTACTTATTTATCGAAATATATCATTCAAAATACATTTGACAATCATTGTTCAGTATAACTATGAAAATATGTCATACAAATTATTGAACTAAATAATTTCTATTGGAGGCTATTGGATTTTATGTTTAGTTATCAGCCGGGACGTCGATTGTGGCAATTATTATAATATTAGCTTGGATATATAAAGGTATCATTACGACCGCGAAAGCACATAACACATAACACATTCATAATCAAACAAGCATAATAAGTTCCTGTTCATTCATAATGTAACTGTTTGTGGATATCGACGAGTGTGCAACAAACTCATGTGTGCACGGTACATGTGTCGACCACGTCAACAACTACACCTGTGACTGTGAACCTGGGTATACAGGCAGGAACTGCAGCACAGGTGAGAAGGCCTTCCCTATCTCACACAGGTTTTATTTTCAGTATTATCACCTCATTAGCCCGAACCCCATTAGGTCGGACACCATGCTTTCCGGGCGATTACGACACAAGGAAAAATACTTAGTAACGATAATTCGTTTGTTCAGATAAATATGTATTTGGGCAGTTTGGGTTATTTTTTTAAGTAACTGTTTGTCTGTGCAACAAACCCATGTGTGCACGGTACATGTGTCGACCACGGCAACAACTAAACCTGTGACTGTGAACCTGGGTATACAGACAGGAACTGCAGCAGAGGTGAGAAGTCATATCTGGGTCGATATGAATTCCATTGCTGTATAAAGAAGGCATGTTCGTTTTGTGGATACAGGAACTTGAGCAATGGGTTGGCTGATTCCCATCACACAATTGATAGTCATGGGACAAGGGTGACTGACATGTTTTAAAATGCATCTCACCTGATATTAACTATCTGTTGTCGACGGAAAGAAATGTACACATGACGTCGACATAAGCACATATACATTCCCAACATCACCCCCATCCTATATCTGCATATGCTTAAACGTGCCCCTTACCCGTTTATGTATTGAACATATAAATATGTTTAAATCCAATCTCCCTCCATATAATGTGTTTAAATCCAATCTCCCTCCATATAATATGTTTAAATCCAATCTCCCTCCATAAAATATGTTTAAATCCAATCTCCCTCCATATAATATGTTTTAATCCAATCTCCCTCCATATAATATGTATAAATCCAATCTCCATGTACAAATGTCCTGTATTTCGGCGGTTATAAATGTGACAGAAAAAAGGCTATTGAATTTAATGTTTAGTTATCAGCCACGACGATAATTGTGACAATAATTATAATATTAGCTGGGATATATAAAGGTATCATTACGACCGTGAAAGCACATAACACATAACACATACATAATCAAACAAGCATAATTAGTTCCTGTTAATTCATAAATAAATGTAACTGTTTGTAGATATCGACGAGTGTGCAACAAACCCATGTGTGCACGGTACATGTGTCGACCACGTCAACAACTACACATGTGACTGTGAACCTGGGTATACAGACAGGAACTGCAGCACAGGTGAGAAGGCCTTCCCTGTCTCACACAGGTTTTATTTTCAGTATTATAACCTCATTAGCCCGGACCCTATTAGGTCGGACACCATGCTTTCCGGGCGATTAAGACTATCTGCGAACGAAGATACTAGTATACAAGGAAAAATATTCAGTAACGATAATTCGTTTGCTCGGATAATTATGTATTTGGACAGTTTGGTTAATTCTTTATGTTACTGTTTGTAGATATTGACGAGTGTGCAACAAACCCATGTGTGAACGGTACATGTGTCGACCACGTCAACAACTACACATGTGACTGTGAACCTGGGTATACAGACAGGAACTGCAGCACAGGTGAGAAGGCCTTCCCTGTCTCACACAGGTTTTATTTTCAGTATTATAACCTCATTAGTCCGGACCCTGTTAGGTCGGACACCATGCTTTCCGGGCGATTAAGACTATCTGCGAACGAAGATACTAGTATACAAGGAAAAATATTCAGTAACGATAATTCGTTTGTTCGGATAATTATGTATTTGGACAGTTTGGTTAATTCTTTATGTTACTGTTTGTAGATGTTGACGAGTGTGCAACAAACCCATGTGTGAACGGTACATGTGTCGACCACGTCAACAACTACACATGTGACTGTGAACCTGGGTATACAGACAGGAACTGCAGCACAGGTGAGAAGGCCTTCCCTGTCTCACACAGGTTTTATTTTCAGTATTATAACCTCATTAGCCCGAACCCCATTAGGTCGGACACCATGTTATCCAGGCGATTACGACTATTTGCGACCGAACATATACAAGGAAATGTACTCATTAACTATTATTCGTTTGTTCAGATAATTATGTATTGGGGCAGTGTTAGTTAACTTCATGTAACTGTTTGTAGATATCGACGAGTGTGCAACTAACCCATGAGTTCGGACAACATTAGCTCGGATCCCGATAGTCCGTACCTCATTAGTCCGGGCCCCGTTAGTTCGGACACCATTAGTCCGGACACCATAAGTTTAGGCCCCGATAGTCCGCACCCCATTAGTGCGGACCCCATTAGTTCGGACACCATTAGTGCGGACAACAATAAGTCCCTACCCCATTAGTTCAAACCCCGATAGTCCGGGCCTGTTTAGTCCGTACACCATTAGTCCGTACACCATTAGTTCGGACACCATTAGTTCGGACAACATTAGTTCGTACCCAATTACTCCAGACCCAATGCTTCTCCAGCGATCAATGTTTGGAGCGACTTAATCTGTTTAAGGGAAACATTCTTTGTTGGTCGGGAGATGTATGCATCTGGAATGACGGGGTTTCACTGTAACGACCTTTCAGTATCATCTTGCCCCTCAAATGTCGTTACAAACAATAAAGAGGATATTATCCATAAAACACATCATGCCTTCATGATATAAATGCTCTAATTGATGGTTTACATCCAAAATCTTTGAAATTGAAATTATATTATTCTAAATCTTAATTAACGTGCTCTTGTTATGTGTTTGAACGAATTACTAGGGGTTGTATTGAATAAGGTACTTATTTATCGAAATATATCATTCAAAAAACATTTGACAATCATTGTTCAGTATAACTATGAAAATATGTCATACAAATTATTGAACTAAATAATTTCTATTGGAGGCTATTGGATTTTATGTTTAGTTATCAGCCGGGACGTCGATTGTGGCAATTATTATAATATTAGCTGGGATATATAAAGGTATCATTACGACCGCGAAAGCACATAACACATAACACATTCATAATCAAACAAGCATAATAAGTTCCTGTTCATTCATAATATAACTGTTTGTGGATATCGACGAGTGTGCAACAAACTCATGTGTGCACGGTACATGTGTCGACCACGTCAACAACTACACCTGTGACTGTGAACCTGGGTATACAGGCAGGAACTGCAGCACAGGTGAGAAGGCCTTCCCTATCTCACACAGGTTTTATTTTCAGTATTATCACCTCATTAGCCCGAACCCCATTAGGTCGGACACCATGCTTTCCGGGCGATTACGACACAAGGAAAAATACTTAGTAACGATAATTCGTTTGTTCAGATAAATATGTATTTGGGCAGTTTGGGTTATTTTTTTAAGTAACTGTTTGTCTGTGCAACAAACCCATGTGTGCACGGTACATGTGTCGACCACGGCAACAACTAAACCTGTGACTGTGAACCTGGGTATACAGACAGGAACTGCAGCAGAGGTGAGAAGTCATATCTGGGTCGATATGAATTCCATTGCTGTATAAAGAAGGCATGTTCGTTTTGTGGATACAGGAACTTGAGCAATGGGTTGGCTGATTCCCATCACACAATTGATAGTCATGGGACAAGGGTGACTGACATGTTTTAAAATGCATCTCACCTGATATTAACTATCTGTTGTCGACGGAAAGAAATGTACACATGACGTCGACATAAGCACATATACATTCCCAACATCACCCCCATCCTATATCTGCATATGCTTAAACGTGCCCCTTACCCGTTTATGTATTGAACATATAAATATGTTTAAATCCAATCTCCCTCCATATAATGTGTTTAAATCCAATCTCCCTCCATATAATATGTTTAAATCCAATCTCCCTCCATAAAATATGTTTAAATCCAATCTCCCTCCATATAATATGTTTTAATCCAATCTCCCTCCATATAATATGTATAAATCCAATCTCCATGTACAAATGTCCTGTATTTCGGCGGTTATAAATGTGACAGAAAAAAGGCTATTGAATTTAATGTTTAGTTATCAGCCACGACGATAATTGTGACAATAATTATAATATTAGCTGGGATATATAAAGGTATCATTACGACCGTGAAAGCACATAACACATAACACATACATAATCAAACAAGCATAATTAGTTCCTGTTAATTCATAAATAAATGTAACTGTTTGTAGATATCGACGAGTGTGCAACAAACCCATGTGTGCACGGTACATGTGTCGACCACGTCAACAACTACACATGTGACTGTGAACCTGGGTATACAGACAGGAACTGCAGCACAGGTGAGAAGGCCTTCCCTGTCTCACACAGGTTTTATTTTCAGTATTATAACCTCATTAGCCCGGACCCTATTAGGTCGGACACCATGCTTTCCGGGCGATTAAGACTATCTGCGAACGAAGATACTAGTATACAAGGAAAAATATTCAGTAACGATAATTCGTTTGCTCGGATAATTATGTATTTGGACAGTTTGGTTAATTCTTTATGTTACTGTTTGTAGATATTGACGAGTGTGCAACAAACCCATGTGTGAACGGTACATGTGTCGACCACGTCAACAACTACACATGTGACTGTGAACCTGGGTATACAGACAGGAACTGCAGCACAGGTGAGAAGGCCTTCCCTGTCTCACACAGGTTTTATTTTCAGTATTATAACCTCATTAGTCCGGACCCTGTTAGGTCGGACACCATGCTTTCCGGGCGATTAAGACTATCTGCGAACGAAGATACTAGTATACAAGGAAAAATATTCAGTAACGATAATTCGTTTGTTCGGATAATTATGTATTTGGACAGTTTGGTTAATTCTTTATGTTACTGTTTGTAGATGTTGACGAGTGTGCAACAAACCCATGTGTGAACGGTACATGTGTCGACCACGTCAACAACTACACATGTGACTGTGAACCTGGGTATACAGACAGGAACTGCAGCACAGGTGAGAAGGCCTTCCCTGTCTCACACAGGTTTTATTTTCAGTATTATAACCTCATTAGCCCGAACCCCATTAGGTCGGACACCATGTTATCCAGGCGATTACGACTATTTGCGACCGAACATATACAAGGAAATGTACTCATTAACTATTATTCGTTTGTTCAGATAATTATGTATTGGGGCAGTGTTAGTTAACTTCATGTAACTGTTTGTAGATATCGACGAGTGTGCAACTAACCCATGAGTTCGGACAACATTAGCTCGGATCCCGATAGTCCGTACCTCATTAGTCCGGGCCCCGTTAGTTCGGACACCATTAGTCCGGACACCATAAGTTTAGGCCCCGATAGTCCGCACCCCATTAGTGCGGACCCCATTAGTTCGGACACCATTAGTGCGGACAACAATAAGTCCCTACCCCATTAGTTCAAACCCCGATAGTCCGGGCCTGTTTAGTCCGTACACCATTAGTCCGTACACCATTAGTTCGGACACCATTAGTTCGGACAACATTAGTTCGTACCCAATTACTCCAGACCCAATGCTTCTCCAGCGATCAATGTTTGGAGCGACTTAATCTGTTTAAGGGAAACATTCTTTGTTGGTCGGGAGATGTATGCATCTGGAATGACGGGGTTTCACTGTAACGACCTTTCAGTATCATCTTGCCCCTCAAATGTCGTTACAAACAATAAAGAGGATATTATCCATAAAACACATCATGCCTTCATGATATAAATGCTCTAATTGATGGTTTACATCCAAAATCTTTGAAATTGAAATTATATTATTCTAAATCTTAATTAACGTGCTCTTGTTATGTGTTTGAACGAATTACTAGGGGTTGTATTGAATAAGGTACTTATTTATCGAAATATATCATTCAAAAAACATTTGACAATCATTGTTCAGTATAACTATGAAAATATGTCATACAAATTATTGAACTAAATAATTTCTATTGGAGGCTATTGGATTTTATGTTTAGTTATCAGCCGGGACGTCGATTGTGGCAATTATTATAATATTAGCTGGGATATATAAAGGTATCATTACGACCGCGAAAGCACATAACACATAACACATTCATAATCAAACAAGCATAATAAGTTCCTGTTCATTCATAATATAACTGTTTGTGGATATCGACGAGTGTGCAACAAACTCATGTGTGCACGGTACATGTGTCGACCACGTCAACAACTACACCTGTGACTGTGAACCTGGGTATACAGGCAGGAACTGCAGCACAGGTGAGAAGGCCTTCCCTATCTCACACAGGTTTTATTTTCAGTATTATCACCTCATTAGCCCGAACCCCATTAGGTCGGACACCATGCTTTCCGGGCGATTACGACACAAGGAAAAATATTCAGTAACGATAATTCGTTTGTTCAGATAAATATGTATTTGGGCAGTTTGGGTTATTTTTTTAAGTAACTGTTTGTCTGTGCAACAAACCCATGTGTGCACGTACATGTGTCGACCACGGCAACAACTACACCTGTGACTGTGAACCTGGGTATACAGACAGGAACTGCAGCAGAGGTGAGAAGTCATATCTGGGTCGATATGAATTCCATTGCTGTATAAAGAAGGCATGTTCGTTTTGTGGATACGGGAACTTGAGCAATGGGTTGGCTGATTCCCATCACACAATTGATAGTCATGGGACAAGGGTAACTGACATGTTTTAAAATGCATCTCACCTGTATTAACTATCTATTGTCGACGGAAAGAAATGTACACATGACGTCGACATAAGCACATATACATTCCCAACATCACCCCCATCCTATATCTGCATATGCTTAAACGTGCCCCTTACCCGTTTATGTATTGAACATATAAATATGTTTCAATTCAATCTCCCTCCATATAATGTGTTTAAATCCAATCTCCCTCCATATAATATGTTTAAATCCAATCTCCCTCCATATAATATGTTTAAATCCAATCTCCCTCCATATAATATGTTTTAATCCAATCTCCCTCCATATAATATGTATAAATCCAATCTCCATGTACAAATGTCCTGTATTTCGGCGGTTATAAATGTGACAGAAAAAAGGCTATTGAATTTAATGTTTAGTTATCAGCCACGACGATAATTGTGACAATAATTATAATATTAGCTGGGATATATAAAGGTATCATTACGACCGTGAAAGCACATAACACATAACACATACATAATCAAACAAGCATAATTAGTTCCTGTTAATTCATAAATAAATGTAACTGTTTGTAGATATCGACGAGTGTGCAACAAACCCATGTGTGCACGGTACATGTGTCGACCACGTCAACAACTACACATGTGACTGTGAACCTGGGTATACAGACAGGAACTGCAGCACAGGTGAGAAGGCCTTCCCTGTCTCACACAGGTTTTATTTTCAGTATTATAACCTCATTAGCCCGGACCCTATTAGGTCGGACACCATGCTTTCCGGGCGATTAAGACTATCTGCGAACGAAGATACTAGTATACAAGGAAAAATATTCAGTAACGATAATTCGTTTGCTCGGATAATTATGTATTTGGACAGTTTGGTTAATTCTTTATGTTACTGTTTGTAGATATTGACGAGTGTGCAACAAACCCATGTGTGAACGGTACATGTGTCGACCACGTCAACAACTACACATGTGACTGTGAACCTGGGTATACAGACAGGAACTGCAGCACAGGTGAGAAGGCCTTCCCTGTCTCACACAGGTTTTATTTTCAGTATTATAACCTCATTAGTCCGGACCCTGTTAGGTCGGACACCATGCTTTCCGGGCGATTAAGACTATCTGCGAACGAAGATACTAGTATACAAGGAAAAATATTCAGTAACGATAATTCGTTTGTTCGGATAATTATGTATTTGGACAGTTTGGTTAATTCTTTATGTTACTGTTTGTAGATGTTGACGAGTGTGCAACAAACCCATGTGTGAACGGTACATGTGTCGACCACGTCAACAACTACACATGTGACTGTGAACCTGGGTATACAGACAGGAACTGCAGCACAGGTGAGAAGGCCTTCCCTGTCTCACACAGGTTTTATTTTCAGTATTATAACCTCATTAGCCCGAACCCCATTAGGTCGGACACCATGTTATCCAGGCGATTACGACTATTTGCGACCGAACATATACAAGGAAATGTACTCATTAACTATTATTCGTTTGTTCAGATAATTATGTATTGGGGCAGTGTTAGTTAACTTCATGTAACTGTTTGTAGATATCGACGAGTGTGCAACTAACCCATGAGTTCGGACAACATTAGCTCGGATCCCGATAGTCCGTACCTCATTAGTCCGGGCCCCGTTAGTTCGGACACCATTAGTCCGGACACCATAAGTTTAGGCCCCGATAGTCCGCACCCCATTAGTGCGGACCCCATTAGTTCGGACACCATTAGTGCGGACAACAATAAGTCCCTACCCCATTAGTTCAAACCCCGATAGTCCGGGCCTGTTTAGTCCGTACACCATTAGTCCGTACACCATTAGTTCGGACACCATTAGTTCGGACAACATTAGTTCGTACCCAATTACTCCAGACCCAATGCTTCTCCAGCGATCAATGTTTGGAGCGACTTAATCTGTTTAAGGGAAACATTCTTTGTTGGTCGGGAGATGTATGCATCTGGAATGACGGGGTTTCACTGTAACGACCTTTCAGTATCATCTTGCCCCTCAAATGTCGTTACAAACAATAAAGAGGATATTATCCATAAAACACATCATGCCTTCATGATATAAATGCTCTAATTGATGGTTTACATCCAAAATCTTTGAAATTGAAATTATATTATTCTAAATCTTAATTAACGTGCTCTTGTTATGTGTTTGAACGAATTACTAGGGGTTGTATTGAATAAGGTACTTATTTATCGAAATATATCATTCAAAAAACATTTGACAATCATTGTTCAGTATAACTATGAAAATATGTCATACAAATTATTGAACTAAATAATTTCTATTGGAGGCTATTGGATTTTATGTTTAGTTATCAGCCGGGACGTCGATTGTGGCAATTATTATAATATTAGCTGGGATATATAAAGGTATCATTACGACCGCGAAAGCACATAACACATAACACATTCATAATCAAACAAGCATAATAAGTTCCTGTTCATTCATAATATAACTGTTTGTGGATATCGACGAGTGTGCAACAAACTCATGTGTGCACGGTACATGTGTCGACCACGTCAACAACTACACCTGTGACTGTGAACCTGGGTATACAGGCAGGAACTGCAGCACAGGTGAGAAGGCCTTCCCTATCTCACACAGGTTTTATTTTCAGTATTATCACCTCATTAGCCCGAACCCCATTAGGTCGGACACCATGCTTTCCGGGCGATTACGACACAAGGAAAAATATTCAGTAACGATAATTCGTTTGTTCAGATAAATATGTATTTGGGCAGTTTGGGTTATTTTTTTAAGTAACTGTTTGTCTGTGCAACAAACCCATGTGTGCACGTACATGTGTCGACCACGGCAACAACTACACCTGTGACTGTGAACCTGGGTATACAGACAGGAACTGCAGCAGAGGTGAGAAGTCATATCTGGGTCGATATGAATTCCATTGCTGTATAAAGAAGGCATGTTCGTTTTGTGGATACGGGAACTTGAGCAATGGGTTGGCTGATTCCCATCACACAATTGATAGTCATGGGACAAGGGTAACTGACATGTTTTAAAATGCATCTCACCTGTATTAACTATCTATTGTCGACGGAAAGAAATGTACACATGACGTCGACATAAGCACATATACATTCCCAACATCACCCCCATCCTATATCTGCATATGCTTAAACGTGCCCCTTACCCGTTTATGTATTGAACATATAAATATGTTTCAATTCAATCTCCCTCCATATAATGTGTTTAAATCCAATCTCCCTCCATATAATATGTTTAAATCCAATCTCCCTCCATATAATATGTTTAAATCCAATCTCCCTCCATATAATATGTTTTAATCCAATCTCCCTCCATATAATATGTATAAATCCAATCTCCATGTACAAATGTCCTGTATTTCGGCGGTTATAAATGTGACAGAAAAAAGGCTATTGAATTTAATGTTTAGTTATCAGCCACGACGATAATTGTGACAATAATTATAATATTAGCTGGGATATATAAAGGTATCATTACGACCGTGAAAGCACATAACACATAACACATACATAATCAAACAAGCATAATTAGTTCCTGTTAATTCATAAATAAATGTAACTGTTTGTAGATATCGACGAGTGTGCAACAAACCCATGTGTGCACGGTACATGTGTCGACCACGTCAACAACTACACATGTGACTGTGAACCTGGGTATACAGACAGGAACTGCAGCACAGGTCAGAAGGCCTTCCCTGTCTCACACAGGTTTTATTTTCAGTATTATAACCTCATTAGCCCGGACCCTATTAGGTCGGACACCATGCTTTCCGGGCGATTAAGACTATCTGCGAACGAAGATACTAGTATACAAGGAAAAATATTCAGTAACGATAATTCGTTTGCTCGGATAATTATGTATTTGGACAGTTTGGTTAATTCTTTATGTTACTGTTTGTAGATATTGACGAGTGTGCAACAAACCCATGTGTGAACGGTACATGTGTCGACCACGTCAACAACTACACATGTGACTGTGAACCTGGGTATACAGACAGGAACTGCAGCACAGGTGAGAAGGCCTTCCCTGTCTCACACAGGTTTTATTTTCAGTATTATAACCTCATTAGTCCGGACCCTGTTAGGTCGGACACCATGCTTTCCGGGCGATTAAGACTATCTGCGAACGAAGATACTAGTATACAAGGAAAAATATTCAGTAACGATAATTCGTTTGTTCGGATAATTATGTATTTGGACAGTTTGGTTAATTCTTTATGTTACTGTTTGTAGATGTTGACGAGTGTGCAACAAACCCATGTGTGAACGGTACATGTGTCGACCACGTCAACAACTACACATGTGACTGTGAACCTGGGTATACAGACAGGAACTGCAGCACAGGTGAGAAGGCCTTCCCTGTCTCACACAGGTTTTATTTTCAGTATTATAACCTCATTAGCCCGAACCCCATTAGGTCGGACACCATGTTATCCAGGCGATTACGACTATTTGCGACCGAACATATACAAGGAAATGTACTCATTAACTATTATTCGTTTGTTCAGATAATTATGTATTGGGGCAGTGTTAGTTAACTTCATGTAACTGTTTGTAGATATCGACGAGTGTGCAACTAACCCATGAGTTCGGACAACATTAGCTCGGATCCCGATAGTCCGTACCTCATTAGTCCGGGCCCCGTTAGTTCGGACACCATTAGTCCGGACACCATAAGTTTAGGCCCCGATAGTCCGCACCCCATTAGTGCGGACCCCATTAGTTCGGACACCATTAGTGTGGACAACAATAAGTCCCTACCCCATTAGTTCAAACCCCGATAGTCCGGGCCTGTTTAGTCCGTACACCATTAGTCCGTACACCATTAGTTCGGACACCATTAGTTCGGACAACATTAGTTCGTACCCAATTACTCCAGACCCAATGCTTCTCCAGCGATCAATGTTTGGAGCGACTTAATCTGTTTAAGGGAAACATTCTTTGTTGGTCGGGAGATGTATGCATCTGGAATGACGGGGTTTCACTGTAACGACCTTTCAGTATCATCTTGCCCCTCAAATGTCGTTACAAACAATAAAGAGGATATTATCCATAAAACACATCATGCCTTCATGATATAAATGCTCTAATTGATGGTTTACATCCAAAATCTTTGAAATTGAAATTATATTATTCTAAATCTTAATTAACGTGCTCTTGTTATGTGTTTGAACGAATTACTAGGGGTTGTATTGAATAAGGTACTTATTTATCGAAATATATCATTCAAAAAACATTTGACAATCATTGTTCAGTATAACTATGAAAATATGTCATACAAATTATTGAACTAAATAATTTCTATTGGAGGCTATTGGATTTTATGTTTAGTTATCAGCCGGGACGTCGATTGTGGCAATTATTATAATATTAGCTGGGATATATAAAGGTATCATTACGACCGCGAAAGCACATAACACATAACACATTCATAATCAAACAAGCATAATAAGTTCCTGTTCATTCATAATATAACTGTTTGTGGATATCGACGAGTGTGCAACAAACTCATGTGTGCACGGTACATGTGTCGACCACGTCAACAACTACACCTGTGACTGTGAACCTGGGTATACAGGCAGGAACTGCAGCACAGGTGAGAAGGCCTTCCCTATCTCACACAGGTTTTATTTTCAGTATTATCACCTCATTAGCCCGAACCCCATTAGGTCGGACACCATGCTTTCCGGGCGATTACGACACAAGGAAAAATATTCAGTAACGATAATTCGTTTGTTCAGATAAATATGTATTTGGGCAGTTTGGGTTATTTTTTTAAGTAACTGTTTGTCTGTGCAACAAACCCATGTGTGCACGTACATGTGTCGACCACGGCAACAACTACACCTGTGACTGTGAACCTGGGTATACAGACAGGAACTGCAGCAGAGGTGAGAAGTCATATCTGGGTCGATATGAATTCCATTGCTGTATAAAGAAGGCATGTTCGTTTTGTGGATACGGGAACTTGAGCAATGGGTTGGCTGATTCCCATCACACAATTGATAGTCATGGGACAAGGGTAACTGACATGTTTTAAAATGCATCTCACCTGTATTAACTATCTATTGTCGACGGAAAGAAATGTACACATGACGTCGACATAAGCACATATACATTCCCAACATCACCCCCATCCTATATCTGCATATGCTTAAACGTGCCCCTTACCCGTTTATGTATTGAACATATAAATATGTTTCAATTCAATCTCCCTCCATATAATGTGTTTAAATCCAATCTCCCTCCATATAATATGTTTAAATCCAATCTCCCTCCATATAATATGTTTAAATCCAATCTCCCTCCATATAATATGTTTTAATCCAATCTCCCTCCATATAATATGTATAAATCCAATCTCCATGTACAAATGTCCTGTATTTCGGCGGTTATAAATGTGACAGAAAAAAGGCTATTGAATTTAATGTTTAGTTATCAGCCACGACGATAATTGTGACAATAATTATAATATTAGCTGGGATATATAAAGGTATCATTACGACCGTGAAAGCACATAACACATAACACATACATAATCAAACAAGCATAATTAGTTCCTGTTAATTCATAAATAAATGTAACTGTTTGTAGATATCGACGAGTGTGCAACAAACCCATGTGTGCACGGTACATGTGTCGACCACGTCAACAACTACACATGTGACTGTGAACCTGGGTATACAGACAGGAACTGCAGCACAGGTGAGAAGACCTTCCCTGTCTCACACAGGTTTTATTTTCAGTATTATAACCTCATTAGTCCGGACCCTGTTAGGTCGGACACCATGCTTTCCGGGCGATTAAGACTATCTGCGAACGAAGATACTAGTATACAAGGAAAAATATTCAGTAACGATAATTCGTTTGTTCGGATAATTATGTATTTGGACAGTTTTGGTTAATTCTTTATGTTACTGTTTGTAGATATTGACGAGTGTGGAACAAACCCATGTGTGAACGGTACATGTGTCGACCACGTCAACAACTACACCTGTGACTGTGAACCTGGGTATACAGACAGGAACTGCAGCACAGGTGAGAAGGCCTTCCCTGTCTCACACAGGTTTTATTTTTAGTAGTATAACCTCATTAGCCCGAACCCCATTAGGTCGGACACCATGTTATCCAGGCGATTACGACTATTTGCGACCGAACATATACAAGGAAATGTACTCATTAACTATTATTCGTTTGTTCAGATAATCATGTATTGGGGCAGTGTTAGTTAACCACATGTAACTGTTTGTAGATATCGACGAGTGTGCAACAAACCCATGTGTGAATGGTGCATGTGTCGACCACGTCAACAACTACACCTGTGACTGTGAACCTGGGTACACAGACAGGAACTGCAGCACGGGTGAGAAGTCATATCTGGGTCGATACGAATGCCATTGCTTTATAAAGAAGACATGCTGTTGCAGGAACTTGTGCAATGAGATGACTGACGCCCATCACACAATTTATAGTCATGGGTCAAGGTTTACGAAAATGTTTTGAAATGCATCTCTCCTTTATTAATGTACACATAATATAAACACAGGTACACATCCAACATCACCTCATTCTGTATATTCATGTGGGCCGTCTGTTTATTGAACATAAAACATGCATAAGTCCAATCTACATGTACAAACGCCCTGTATTTCGTTTATACATGTGACTTGTAGATATCAACGACTGTGCAACAAACACATGTGTGCACGGTACATGTGTCGACCACGTCAACAACTACACATGTGACTGTGAACCTGGGTATACAGACAGGAACTGCAGCACAGGTGAGAAGTCATATCTGGGTCGATAAGAATACCATTGCTGTATAAAGAGGGCATATTTGTTTTGCTGATACAGGATTTGTGCAATGTATTGGCTGATTCCTATACAGACGGATACTGCAGCACAGGTGAGAATTCCTTTTCGCTCTCATCACGTAACGGGAACGGGTATACGCTGGTCATGTTCAATATGTCCATTGACATCCATCACATACTTGTCACCAAGTGTCACAAATGCATTGTGAGACAAATAGTGCAATATTTCAGACGTAATTGAATGTTGCCATAATCCGTGTGTGAATGCTGCAAAAATAATTTTTGAAAAAATAATCTGTTCCTCTCTAATGGCTTAAGCGTTGTTTAAAAAATGAGGTCACAGCTCCCATCTCTTCATCTGTACCTATTTCAGATATTGACGACTGTATCAGCAAGCCATGTGTCAACAACGGCACCTGCGTCGACATAATCGATGGCTACACCTGTATTTGTCCTGAAGGTATCAATGGCACAGACTGTGAAATAGGTAGCCTCTATTTTCAAAATATTTTTACAGTTTTGATCCGGCAATGAGAATATGTTTTATGCAAATGTTTATGGTGTTTGTAATAAAAAGATTGTACAATTGAAAAAGAGAAAACGATGATCGAATATTCAGACTGAAAATCACTGAATTTAAGAATGTCGAGGATGCAAGAAATGTATGACCGGCCTTTCATTAAATCCATATCTGTGATATCGTCTATATCAATACTATTTTCTGTTGTAGGCGGTGATCCTTGTGTGAGAAATCCCTGCCGGAACAACGGGACTTGTATTGCTAGAGCGAGTGGTTTCAACTGCTCCTGCCTGGCTGGGTTTGAAGGAGACATCTGTCAGACAGGTACAGTGATGTTACAATGTCATCAGTTTCCAACTGATTGTCGAGGGGGTCACCTTGTTATAAGGCCCAGACGGTTGGAATGTGTTACCGTTATGGTTGTGTCATCGTTCCCGTGTCCATACTGTCAACTAGAGGTCTTCCAGGACCAGATTCGATTATTCAAATGTCGCCGTGTCAGACAGGTACAGTGTTGTTACAATGTCCTCAGTTGATTGTCGTGGAGTCACCTTGTTATAAGGCCCAGGTGGTTGGAATGTGTGACCGTTATGGTTGCGTCATCGTTCCCGTGTCCATACTGTCAACTAGAGCTCTTCCAGGACCAGATTCGATTATTCAAATGTCGCCGTGTTAAAAGTAGAGCATTGCTGATTGATGCGGAAATACCATTCACCCCTCCTTAATATACCATAAGATCTTCTTGACCCTTTTTTCAATATTTCAACATAATCATAATATACTCGCACACATAATTCATTGGAATGGCAGACGGGAAAATGTACCAAATGTAGTTGTTCTGTATCTGTAACAACACATATATTTGTCTGTGAAATTAGGTGAATTCAGTTTAATTAATTCTGATGAAGGAGTAAGCATAAACTCCGAAACGTTGTGTTCCTCATAATAAAGAAGTTGACATCCACAAAGTCTCTTCCTTTACGAATCAAATTCACACTTAAGTTAAGTTGCTGTATAACATGTTAATTATGTGACGTGAGCACATATTAATGAGCTATCATTCATATGGCTGAGTAAACGATAACAAGATAAACGTATCTGTTCTCACCATGTAGTTGAGAAAACATGTTTTTCATTCATTGTCTGAAACATACTGTAAAATCGAGAATTACCAACATCTTGTTAGACAACAGAACGCCCACACGGAAATCAGAGACAGTTGTGTTTTCAAAGCTCGAGCAGTCATTTGAATAAATAATGACACCGTGAGGAGGTCTATGAACATGTTCAACAATTATATTAACCTGTATTTGTGTCTCTTCTCTGCACAATTCCTGACACCAAGAAAAGGATCCGATAAAATGTTTTCTATACCGCATATCTCTTGAGCATAAGAAGAACACAAAATCCACGGCTGTTGAGGGATGGTATGTTCTTATGTTGATTAATGCATGACATGTTATTTTGCAAGACGTATCACTAAGCCCCTGGGGTAATATTAGGCATAACATGCAGTCATTATCGTTAGATACTCAATAGATAACATTGCCTGGAGATTCTCAGATATCGCCAGTTTATTCATAGTTATTATCACTGAAATATTACAGATTCATTTATGCTTTTGAAAATAAACAAAAGCGCAGAACTATTATCTCAGGGAGACGCGGGCAACATGATTATTGTAAAAAGGGATTCATTGTTGGTGTGACTACGTTAAACTTTGAAAAAAATGATACATTTGGATACACAAGTCTATTCAATATGAGTTGTTATAGTTACGTCCTTAGTGACTATTCACACAAGAGCCACTTACCGCCTCCGTGATCTGGAGGATCGGATAGGGCTTCTGCTTTGAGAGCGGAAGTTCGGTGGTTCGATTCCCGGCCGCGTCATACCTTAAGACGTTAAAAGATGTTACTTGCTATTAATTGCCTTGCGCTCGACATAAAGGGGATGGTCGTACGGGGTCAGTTTACTGTGTCTGAGTGAGGTAACCATGTTAAACTGAGGCAAAGTGTATTAGTGGGCTAGCACTATAAAACCGTCGTTAGTCCGGACTAACACAAGCAAACACACTCATGCACGCACGCACGCACGCACGCGCCGCTAGATAAGTGCAATCCTTTTGTACCAGACATGAAACACCATTCACCTCACCTCTGCTTAAATAGGGGTGTGGGTAGCCTAGTGTTAAGACATAAGTTCGTTACACCGAATTCATGAACTCCATACCACGAATTATGGTACAGTGCGTGAAGCAAATTTTGACACGCATCTAAGGTTAACATACATACAATGTACCACAACGGCTATTTATTCAAATGATTCCTAATCCTAATCCCTGCACCCTAAGATCTTATTGTAGACATTAATATGGGCGTATTGCCACGTATAAACACTGATGTGTATGCTGTCCGTTATCAACAAGGAAAAAATAACTTACCTGTACATAGCAAAAGAACCAGCAAGAGATCATGTATAAACATCTGATGTATGTGCTGTCCGTTATCAAACAAGGAAAAAATAACTTACCTGTACATAGCAAAAGAACCAGCAAGAAATCAGGTATACACACCCGATGTATGTGCTGTATAAGTCACTATAGAACTGCAATAATATTAATCGCGACGTTAAACCCAGTTCTAATTGACATTAACTTTCTGTAGGGAGTAAATAATTGAAACCATTCGAAATCATTTGGAGTTGCATAAGCATTCATAGAAATGATAAACACTTTCTTTTATCATTAAAAATCTCTAAAAGTAGAGTCCGTAGCACCTAACAATATCATGAGCATGATTCTATGAATCACCATCAAATAGCGATAATACCAGTTGTTTGCGAAATAGTGTGCGTATATGCAACGGCAAGTCAATTGTTCACCTGAAAAAGCAGGGAACATATGGCTCAAGTCAAAGTAGGCATCATTATTGTCACGGATGCGTTGGAAAATTCTCCACATTTTTTACAGCTTTATTATGTCCTTGAAAGTTGTTATGCTGATGGGACAACTTTTCAGCAAGACTTGTATGACGCCCTCTGAAATAAACACTTGTTTATTAATGGATAGCCTCTTATGTTACCTGAATTTCCCGGTTCTCTCGAATTATTCATCACAAAGCAGCTGCAAACTCATAAATCGTCACTCAATTTGGAATTAGTCATAGGTGTGCTGTCTCCTCACAGTAATGGAGAAGTCGGCAGCAAGATTAATGTGGGAATACATTACATTGATGGTTGACCATACGAAGCATTCTAACACGTCTTTTGAAATAGTTTGCTTTTGTTAATTCCCTGGTGAATAGTCCCACCACAAAAGCCAAATGTTTCAATTGGAACGTTTCTGTATATTGATTTAATTAATTCAATGGTAAAATGTGGTCAATAACACAAAGGTTTCAAATTTCAGGCATTTATATTACGCGGTCATGATCACCTTGAGCGATTAAAGTTGATAATGATAATTATAATGAGCATAATAGGTGAGCATGGTATCATGCGAATGTATGATGCTTACAAGGATACAATCATCAAGTCTTCAACAAAGCTCCTTATGTCTAAAGAGAAATTCATCTTTTACTAAACTGTGAACACATGTCAGAGCATCACGATGACTTGTGTTTGAATAATATGAATCTGTGTTTTAACCATTGGTACAACGTCTTTACCCACCCTTTACCCAACTCAATAGTTGATAATACCCTCAGTCGTGGCATGTTTTCGCTGTTCACTTGCTGTAAGATTGTAATGGCATGCAAATTGAAGCCCAACAATGTATGCCGCACATGCATGTTATGTTGGTGTGTTTTAGCGCCAGGCTCTCACGTGTTTATGTTTTTGCAATTTTTCCATCTTTTCACCAAATTTTTGCAGAACCTCATTCTTTCCACACAATTCAATCCCAATCCATGCAGAAATGATCATTCAGTTTTTGGTATTAATTTTGTATGGATGTTGGCATAATTTACGATTTTACTACGTTTGCCTTTCTTTTTTGGCAGAGTATAGATTAATTTGTTTCGCTTTTTTAAAGAAGAATTCGAACCTACAAAATCAGCACTGTAGGCGACAGAGGGAGTTGTTTATAAACAATGAAATATTTTCATCAAGACTGTCAATGTTATTACTATGTAAGTTGATATCATAAGTACAACTACAATACTGCGACACTCAGTGTTATTTGCTCGAACAAACGCATTGTTTATCAAGTTGATGTTATTGCCAAGGAGGTTATTCCAGTTATTATTTTAAATTTGATGGCCAACATTTCGGTTTACCCAAGGAAGTATGTTAAACGAATGCATATTTCGCGATATTTAAAATCATTACTATGGCGTCACAATAACTTAGCAGAGGTCGATACTGAGCCAGATATCCTCTTGCTTTTCTGTACGTGCATGTCATCCAACGTCATAATTGGCGTGTGCATGAAATAAGTATTATTACC